GGAGTGACTTCATTGCATTCCAGATTGACCTCCTAGCATTCAGGAGTGACCTCCTAGCATTCAGGAGTGACTTCATTGCATTCCAGATTGACCTCCTAGCATTCAACAGTGACCTCCTAGCATTCAGGAGTGACATCCTCGCATTCAAGAGTGACCTCCTAGCATTTAGGAGTGACATCCTCGCATTCAAGAGTGACCTCCTGGCATTCCAGAGCGACCTCCTAGCATTCAGGAATGACCTCCTAGCATTCCAGAGTGACGTCATAGTATTCAAGAGTGACCTCATACCATTCAAGAGTGACGTTGTGTTTGTCTACTACTACTAACTTTTGTATTTTGCTGTCATTACATAAAATGTGTCTTCAGATTTGCAGGGGGTAATTGAGTATACAATGGCCAAAAAATTCATTTGGAACCGACGGTGTTCATAAACCAGAGATTTTAAATATTAAACATGTTAAACTGTTAGCTATTATTTCAAATCACAATTAAGTTCAGAAAGGTGTTGAAGTCCATATAAACATCATATCACCAACACCATGACAAAAGCTGCTTACAGCAAGTATTTGTCACAAAGTGACGAAATGTCCCCCGCCTGTATATACACCATAGTACCAAATATGAAGACAATCCAGCAATTAGTTCTTGAGATATCGCGGCAACACCGTTTTCCAACTCCAAAAGCAGATTTGCCTGCTGTGACCTTGAAAATGGGTGTCTGCGGTGTCTGTATATACACCATAGTTCCAAATATGAAGACAATCCTGCGATTAGTTCTTGAGATATCGCGGCAACACCGTTTTCAAACTCCAAAAGCAGATTTGCCTGCTGTGACCTTGAAAATGGGGTCAAGGTCACCAAAACCGACTGGTGTCTGTGGAGTCTGTATATACACCATAGTTCCAAATATGAAAACAATCCAGTGTTTAGTTCTTGAGATATCGCGGCAACACCGTTTTCCAACTCCAAAAGCAGATTTGTCTGCTGTGACCTTGAAAATGGGGTCAAGGTCACCAAAACCGACTGGTGTCTGCGGTGTCTGTATATACACCATAGTTCCAAATATGAAGACAAACCTGCGATTAGTTCTTGAGATATCGCGGCAACACCGTTTTCCAACTCCAAAAGCAGATTTGCCTGCTGTGACCTTGAAAATGGGGTCAAGGTCACCCAAACCGACTGGAGTCTGTGGAGTCTGTATATACACCATAGCTCCAAATATGAAGACAATCCAGCAATTAGTTCTTGAGATATCGCGGCAACAAACAGGTGGGATGTACGGACGGACGGTCGTGAATACTATATCCCCCGCTTCGCGCCTTCGCGCGGCGGGGGACAAAAAGTGTAATTGTTTCATTTCTATTTCAGTCTTATATTCATAACATACAAGGGGTGTTCATTAAAGATTTCCCCTGACCCACTTCCGATGGACCTAGTGGAATGAAACTTGGCATAGGTATTAGTCTTTCTCCACATAGGAACCACCAAGAGTTACACACTTCTCCCATCGTTTTATGCAACTATGGAGACCTCGCTTGTAAAAGCCCTCATTTTGCATCTCAAACCAGGACTTGACTTTAGAAATCAGTGTTTCATCATCTGTGAAACGTTTTCCCTTCAAAAAGGTGGAAGTCAGATGGTGCAAGATCAGGAGAGTAAGGAGGATGTGGAAGGATTTCATAGCCACTGGACCGCGCTTCTGTCTGGGCAACATGAGAGTTGTGTACTGGAGCATTGTCTTGCAGGAGACGGACACCCTTGGTCAGCATGCCATGCCTCTTAAGCTTGATAGCGTCCCGCAATTTCCGCAGCAGTGAAGCATAATAAGCTCCTGTAATTGTGGTACCCTTTGCCAAGAAATTCATCATCACTACTCCGTGCTGGTCCCAAAACACTGTGAGCATGACCTTGCCTGCAGAGGGTTGGACACGTGCCTTCTTTGGGGGTGGTGACTCCACATGCTTCCATTGCATCGACTGAACTTTAGTCTCAGGATCATAGTGATGGACCCATGTTTCATCCTGTGTGCTAAGTCTGTCAAAAAAGTTTGCCTGTTTTTTTTGGCACATGTCCAAAAGATCATTTGAGCAATTGACTCGTTCCTGCTTTTGGAAAGGTGTGAGCAACCTGGGAATCTATCGTGCAGACACCTTATGCATGTTCAAATTGTCATGGATGATTTTTTCCACAGACCCTACACTAATCTTGACTTCTTGTGCTAACTGGCGAACAGTTATACGTCAGTCTGCCAAAATGGCGGTCTCCACTTGATGGATAGTCTCCTCATCAATGGCTGAATGGGGGCGACCAGGAATGGCAGCTCTTTCCACAGATGTCCGACCACACTTGAACTGGCGATGCCAGTGTTTAACAACATCATATGATGGGGCATCTTGCTCATAAGTTGCTTTCATTTCATCGAAAAGTTTCTTTTGGTGTGCGACCTTTCAAATATAAAAACCTAATCACTGCTCGGTATTCTAATGGCTCCATTGTCACACCCTACTCGATAATAACACCTGTAAAAGTGGTAAGATTAATAGTTCGATGCTGCAAATTCAGACATAACCCATAGATACATGTATCATTACACATGTGAAATTTCAACCAAATATGATAACCCTAAGTGGTTTAGGGGAAATCTTTAATGAACACCCCTCGTATATATATACACTATACAGATGAATTAGTTGAATGGCATCCAACAAAAGTCAGTCTTCTGCCACTTTATGGTCAAAGGGGAGACAACTCCAGCTCAAAGAGATTAAACATTCCCTGGACACATCTTGTTTGTTAACCACCGCACTCAGCATCATCCCAGTTGTATGAAGGCAGCCTTTAAATATGTAATTAAGCCTAGACCAGACAACCCAGTGATCGAGGTCTTACGTCTTACGTCGCGAAGTGCATCAAATCACAAGAGCACCTTGATTAAAAACATAAAAATGATTTGGAAAATATCTGTTGACGAGTTGGCGGTGCACATGCTTTACAAATCACGCAATCAACCAAAATCTGCATGACAGTTTACGAACCAGATTTCAATTTTGTTGGACTATGCATAAACTCGTTAGTCCAGCCAAAATGTAACTCCATAATACCAGCCTAATTTGGCAAGAGTGGAAACTGGACTTTTATCGTCAGTTAACTTTCTTGCCTCAGGAAGATGGGTTAACATAGATCCCCAGCAACCAATGCTGGTCATTTGTGTGCTTTTGTTAATCGCTGCCCTCAGCAACGGTCCAGCTGTATGAAGGCAGTCTGTAAATGATAGAATATGTATGGACCAGACAATCCAGTGATTGACATCATGAGCATCAATCTACACAACATGGGATACAATGACAGCGAGCAAGACAACCCGATCCTGTTAGTCTCCTACTTATGACAAACATGGGTTGCTTGAAGACCAGTTCTCACCCAGATCTTCAGGGGGTCTGATTGTCAGAGGCGACCAAATGGATCATGTGGTCAGGCTCTGTGACATGGTTAATTATTTGACATCACACCCCGACAGCGTGGATCGTTGTTGACAATATTTATCACTGATCCAGATTTGATTGTTTACTGTTACATAACTGAGTGCCGCATTTAACAACAAACAAACAGAATTATGCACAGTGTGTACCAAATAGGGCGGTCGGGTAGAGTAGTGATTAAAGCGGTCCCTTGTCATGCCGAAGACCTGGGTTCGATTCCCGACATGGGTACAATGTGTGAAGCCCATTTGTGGTGTCTTCCTGCCGTGATATTGCTGGAATATTGCTAAAAGTGGCGTAAAACCATACACACTCACTCACTGTACCAAATATGTTGTGATATAAATTATAACATGACTATGGATATGGAACTTTGGGCAGATTTTGTTTTATGAAACATACTGAAATGACGACCAGTTTTTTAAAATTTGTCAGCTTATGTTATTAGTTATGATGTCAGTCAATGCCAAAAACTTTTGATTCTATTTGCCCAAACATGGCTCTATGTATCATTTTCAGTAGAGTTTAGTATTATCATATGAACAATTAATAGCTACCGGTAAGTTTACTTCACCAAACAGACTTGGGCTTCGGACTAGTGACTAAAGACACAAACTGTGATATCACCAAACATACTAAGTTTTAATCTGCTATGATGTATGTTCAGAGTTAGAGATACAACTTCATGTTTCAAAGTTGTCCACAACCATACAAAGTCTCCTTTCCAACATGAGATATCTAAGGACAGCCCACTCCAGTATTTCACCAGGATACTTCAATAACAAAGGAGTCCTGGTCATGCAGGCTTGATTTCCTTGCCTAATAATAGAAATACATGTACTTACATTACACCCAATCTTGGGGTGATCTACCACTGTGTCATGTAGATGTCATCAGCAATGACCTACTTTGTTGTTTTAGTGAACAAGTTACAAATACCTTAAAATAGTTCAAGCAAGTTAGAAAGAAAATAATAAAAATATTGATCCTTTACCTTATGTCATTGCTAACAAAACGTGTGACAACCATGAAATTGTACAAGATACATAACCGACAGTGCATATGCTGCAGTTCTGATATTGTGACAATCATTACACTGTTTTCTTGCTGGTGGTCGTGCCAACATCTCTCTGATGTGACAGCTTAGCGTGGCATGTCCAGGAACTTCAAGAACATGAGAACTTTCACTACAAAATGTTTGTGACTGTCTAAACAGTTGTGGTTGTTTCATACAGCAAAGACAAAAACTTGAATGTCAAGTCAAATTTCATGTGATATGTTGATGACAGATTTTGTTCCTTCGAGAGACAATATTGCCAACTAAACATCTGTAAAAAGCCAGGTTCCACGATGTGTCAATCTTCACTTTACAGCCGATCGCCGATTCGGTATTACCAAGACAAACCGAAGTTGTCAGTTATAAATGTACATGTGATAGAATCAGCATTATATGTTCTTACTACGACTCACATGTATTCTACTTGTGAGTGATTAGTATTCACGTAAACTGGTGCAACTTACCAGCAACTTCAGACATTGTCACCCTATTCCACGCGATGATGAAACCGGCAGTAGTACTGTAGCGAGCTGTCGGAACAGTTGGCCGCGCTTCTTATACTACGAATTGAACGACAAGTTGTATTGAGAAAGCCTATTGGTTCATTTAATCCAATCAGCATTGGTGTTTCGCAGTGCTTCGCCATCTTCTCACGGACGCAAAATGAGTACGCCGGTATTCATAGATATAGCGGTCCCTGAACAGGTAAATTGATGTTTGTAACTGTAAATAAGTTGTTGGAAAAGTTTATAATTAGATTATTGGTCGAATAGCCAAATACTTGCAACATATGAGTCCTAATAGTGAAATTATAAGACTAAATATGTGTCCATATGGTGCTCACGTGTTGTTGTGTCTCCTAAATTCGTGGTAATTTTGTGAGGAAAATGATGAAATGTCTCGTAAAACGACATACGCAATGAATTAAAATGGATTTACAGTTTCATACTGTAACTGAAACTGTTTGGTATCAGTTTATTATCTCCGTAATCTCACGTGAAATGTTTTCTTCAAAAACACAGTTAAACATATGGATATAGTGGACATTGTACAATTAATGAATTCATGTTTGGTATTTCAGTGAATTGTTTATACGTAGTATCCTTGAAAGTATATCTGAAAGGTGTAAAAATCATTATTAACCTTGCCTTGTTAACATTTGACATGATTTGTGTGTGTTGAAACATATGGTATCAACTACAAAACTTGCGGGTCTTGTCATTCTTTAAAGCTTCAGATAAGCAGCGTATTTGCATAAAATACCCCCTCCCAAAATATTCAAAACTCAATTACTTTCACTTAACTTGCGACACGCATACATTAATTGAATAACTTAAAAAAACAGCACATGTAAATACCCAATGAATCTTTTTCAGCATGCGTCCAAGGGAGCTAATTTCCGAAACACAATTATGAGCTAATTTACTTTCCGAGTCAAACCTATAAATTTTGGTGTAACAAAAATAACACATATCCATAGTGGTTTGGTTTGTTTATTGTTATGAAACTGCTCTTCTCTGATCTTTATGTCACCTGGTCTCCATCCAAGATCTTCAAATCTTATTGGACTATGGCTGGCACTACACTCAATGAGAAATTGTACCTGATTTTTGTTGCTAAGTGTACAAAATTTGGAAATCTCACAATCATCTATATGTGATTAGTCTACTTCAAAAATATATTCATGATCGGTTTGTGGCATTCAACATGTTCAACAAAGGGACCTCTCCCACCAGAACCTCTCTAAAATGAACTTTTTATGTGTATAAATAGTTTTTTATTTCATTGGTAAGGGACTTGAGATAAAATCCATGTAAAACAATCAATACAAGTTCATTCCTCAAATTTAGATATAGCGGTTATCGACCAGTTTACTACTGCAGACATTGGCCTTGTGCAGAGAGTTATCTCCCCAAATCCCGGGGGCGGCCGGATAGCCTAGTGGTTAAAGCGTTTGCTCGTCACGCCGGAGACCCGGGTTAGATTCCCGACATGGGTACAATGTGTGGAGCCCATTTCTGGGGTCCCCCGCCGTGATATTGCTGGAATATTGCTAAAAGCGGCGTAAAACCATACTCACTCACCACAAATGCCGTAAACATCTCATGCTACTAAATGAGAACAAAAATCTCTCAATATATTGTTTTTTACCTTTTTACCCCTGTACATTTTGATGGTAAGCTGATTGAGAGTGGCCTAATGGGCTTCAGTAAGTTGCATGTAGTATTATAAGGTGATATATGGTTAGTTCTGGTCACATGTTCAATTATTGAATATGTCCTGACATGTAAAGTACTTATGATGTGTACTAGAATTGTCAGTTACCATGGTTACCTGTGTTTATGATGTCTATTGAAAATTGCACATTTTGTATGGTTATTTGTCTTATGATATCTGTAAATGAATCATGTTGTTTTTTTCTCCAATTGTTTTCAAGACTTCAGAGTTACGAAGCTTTCTTAAGTCTCTTGGAGCAGAAATCTGTGAAGAAAACTCTGAGAGTGGGATCCTAACAGATTTAAAGAATGTGGTTGAAGCTAGCACAATATGTTGGAAGGAAATTCAAACTGATGGTGGTAAGATGTTATCTGCTTCATTTGTAGATAGGGGCGGATGGGTAGCCTAGTGGTTAAAGCAATCGCTCGACCCGGGTTCGATTCCCGACATGGATACAATGTGTGAAGCCCATTTCTGGTGTACCCTGCCGTAATATTGCTGGAATATTGCTAAAAGCAGCATAAAACCATACTCACTCACTCATTTGTAGATATGTTGTTTCGGTAAAACTTATGATTGTAAGTCCAGGTTTGCCCCAATTATGTTTCTAGGTTTGTTAACACCATACCTGTGCTCGTGGGTTTCACCAAAGTGGTAAACATGTGAGACCTGCATCACTTCAGGCTTTCCTCCCACAGTAAGATGACACGCTGTGATATAACTGAAATTCTGTTCAAAGCATCGTTAAACCCAACTCACTGGTAGCAACAGATTCAAGTGATTATTTTTTACACTTATACCATGTTATGGTTGACATATAATTTTTCTAGAATCTTGCATAATGACCTATAGTTGCATCAGTTTGCATTCAGAATGGCCAGTGAATTCCTGACCAACGTTTAACATGTGAAATGTCATGAAAAAGCTTTAAGCAATTGGATAGCAATGACAATGAAGTGAAAAAAAGTCACAATCAAATTTACAAGCCAAATGCAATTCAGTTGCTGCAAACCACTGCAGGGATAGAAATAAATACTAGCCTGATCCAGTTTCACTAATGTTAAAGTTATGTTAGGGGCTGGTAGAATTTTGAACACTTTGGGTGTGTTCCTGTATGTTGCAACATGCTAATAAATCTGCATTATGAAAATTTCTTGTCTGCACTATGTTGATATGAAAACTCAATGATGCTACACTAACTGTGAGTATCCAAGGTGCTCTCTCTAAATGGGGAGACACTTTTTTCAGCTCACTGACATGGTTACAAAAGTCGAATGAAGCACTAGTAAAATCATTTTGTCATAACGTTCCAAGTTTCTTTTGATGTCATACATCTGATACATTTAGTGCAAGGTTTTGACATGCATCTATATTTGCATCAGTTCGCATTCAGAATGGCCAGTGAATTCCTGGCTCAGAATCAACTGCAACGACAAAAGTGTGATGTCATTGTAATGGTTTAATAAGGTTTAAAAAATAAAAGTGTTGGTTCTCAGGCAATGGTTTTTGAAAATATAGTGCGGGTGGGCGGTGTCTTTTTTTTTTTTCATTTGGTTGTTCAAACTAGTATGTAACCAAATAAACCGTTGTGTACAATCAACCTGGGAGAGGGCCTCCCTACATAAATGTATTCCTTTATGAGTAAAATAGTGGAATACAGTATTTGACTACTGTTGGATTTTGGAATATTGAAGGATTTTTAGTTTTTTTTAAAAACAGAAATAAAAGAGAAACATGTGACGGAAATTGTGATGAAGCGGGCGGTGCCTGAGAACCAAGATATATGTTTGTTGTTTTTTTAGCCTAAACTGATAGGTAGGTGTGAAAATGATCCTAAAATCAGAAAAAATGAATGCCTGTTTGTTTTGTTGTATTACCCTGGTATTGCCACTCACAGGCAATATGAGCCTGTGAATGAATTAATATTTGAAACAACTTGCCAATTCTGTTCCCATTTTGCATTCTGAATGTACCATTGTTGCAGAGGTTGAGATGCTCTTCAATGGAATCATTTCCTTGATACTCATGGTGCCGCCAGAGGGCGTGGAGAGTCTGGGAACTCTCTTCTGTGAGAAGATAGTAAAAGCCACAACCTCAGAGAAGCGACTTGGTGTCCGAGTTAAATTGTAAGTCCTAGAAACCAGGTCGTTACCATGGCTACTATTATTGTGTGATGTGCTCACAGTTTCAGCTTAACCTCATGTTATTCACAAATGCAAATGGTAGTTTTCTTGAATGGTATCACATGGTATTTTATGCTGTTGTGATGTTGGAGTATATGTGTCTTTTCTGTATGCTATTGACAATCAAAATTGTCATACCAAAAGACATTATTAGATGGTACTTGTTGTTACCCTGCCTGGCACAAAGCATAAAGGGGATGAAAAGAGGATTCATTGGCTTGGAATCAGTAAACTGTGTCTAAGTGGGCTATCCATGTTAAACTGAGGCATGGTGTCAGTTGTCTAGCACTGTAAACAATGTCCGAAAATAACTGCCTGCCTGCGGCTGGTAACTTTTCTGTTGGGCTGCATGAAATTTTCCTCCACTTGCAGGGTTAGAAACTAACAGTTTTCGTCCACTAGTCCTTATAATGATAACATATAGCCAAACCCTTAAAAAGGGAAAATTTCTACTAGTCCTTATGATACTTTTACAATTGGGCAGTTTGGCAAGGACTATAGGACTAGTGCCAATTTCTAAAGCTGACTTGCCCCACTATCTGACAGGACCGCCTCCGTGGTCTTGTGGTAGAGCGTCCGCCCGGAGAGCGGAAGGTCCAGGGTTCGATCCCGGGCCGTGTCATACAAAAAGACGTTAAAAGATTGTACTTGTTGTTACCCTGTCTGGCGCTCGGCATTAAGGGGCTAAAACAAGGACTGGTCGGCTGGGAGTCAGTATACTGTGTCTGAGTGGGGTATTCATGTTAAACTGCGGCATAAGATCTCAGTGAGCTAGCACTATAAATCGGCATCAGTCCGGACTAGTACAAGCAGCCACACACACACATACACGTGCATGCACGTCGCTATATAAGTGCAATAATCTTGGACGCGACGTTAAACCCAATTTCACCTCACCTCACTATCTGACAGATAATATTAAGACGACTTATATATTCAGTTTTATTATAACTCCTGCAGATTCTCAAGTAATTGTTTGCATTATTTCAACTGGATCAAGACATGATTTGTCTACTTGTTTTTATGATTTTTCAATATAAATAATGCCTGGATGCAGGCAGGAAACTTTGAAGATGAGCAGGCAAAACTTATGGGTCATAAGCCCCGACTGTCTTGTATTATAATTATTTCGAATACTGACTATAAAACGTAATGTATGATTTAAGTGACAAACATTTAACACTATTCTGCTGAAAACTTTTGGAAAGCAATTGGTGAGCAGACAGACTGTTGCCAGGTAACATGTTAACACATCTGCATTATGAAAATTTCTTGTCAGCGCTATGTTGATATGAAAAGTCAATAATGCTACACTAACTGTGAGTATCCAAGGTGCTCTCTCTAAATGGGGAGACACTTTTTTCAGCTCACAAACAAATACTTGTTGATTAAGAATTCTACTATGAATTCAGGAATTGCTCAGTTATGATCATGATGATCGGTTAGTCGGGTATCAAAGCACAATAACAACCTGTGATTGAAACAGCCGATTTGATGACCACATCACCACAGTAGATAATATTAATCGTAAAGTATTTTCTATTTTCAGTCATTGTCAGTAGGCATTTTTAGATATACCGTATTCGACTTAATAAGCGCCCAGGGCGCTCTCAAAATTAGAAATAGGGGGCTCTTATTAGAATATTATTTTGGTGGAAAAAAACAGAATTGAAAGATAAATTTCTTGGTTTATGCTGACAGCCTGAAGCATATAGTACACGAGTGCGTATTATACGTGAATAAATAAGTCTTGTGTACATTGATCTATCGGAAGGGGTGCTAATTGGGATTGTTCACTGGCCAATATATTAGCAAATATCGCCGTGGGCGCTTATTACGTCGAATACGGTAGTTAAATGTTCAGTTATAGCTTATAAAACTGACTGAACACTAACTGTGAGTATCCAAGATGACATGGGCTGGGGTGGGGGACAGTTTTTCAGCTCATTTACATGTGGTTTCCACACTAAGAATAGGCCCTCTGAACCCAGGAGATATGTGTTGCCTTCATGGATGTCCAGCGCACTTGATGTTGCCCGTCGAATGTCTTTTTTAACAGATCTATGGAGGATTGTTTTTTACATTTGTTCTGAATATCTGTCTCCCTTGCGTCACTTTGGACTGAAGTGTAAGTTCTGCATTATGAAAATTTCTTGTCAGCGCTATGTTGATATGAAAAGTCAATAATGCTACACTAACTGTGAGTATCCAAGGTGCTCTCTGAATGGGGAGACACTTTTTTCAGCTCACAAACAAATATTTTGGCATTTTAAAACTTTCAGAATAAAGGCTGTTGATTAAGAAATGCTCAGTTCTGATTGGTCAATCAGAGGTATCAAATCACAACTGCCAATTTGACATCCTCTGCTCCGAGAAAATAATAACAGAAATGTATTTCTTTCTCAGTCATTGTTGGTAGGCATTTTTAAATAATCATATGTTCAATTATAGGTTGTAAAACTATCTGTACACTTTCTGTAGGTATTCAAGAGGCACTCTTTTCAGCTGACTTAAACCACATACAACTTTGTCATGAAGTGATGTAGGGACCATGATCAATGTTAAACAATTACCTTTGCAGAGTTGTGTCCCTTAGTTGTCACCCGTGAAGATTTCGGGTTAGAATAGGTCTTCAGCAACCCATGCTTGGCGTAAAAGGCGGCTAACGGGATCGGGTGGTCAGACTCACTGACTTGGTTGATGCATGTCATCGATCGCAATTGCATGGATCGATGCTCCTGATGTTAATCACTGTATTGTCTGGTCCAGACTCGATTATTTACAGACCGCCGTCATACAGCTGGAATATTGCTGAGTGTGGCGTTAAACAACAAACCAAACAACCAACCCTTAGTTGTACTAGGATCATCTGATTGTTGGGTTGGATCCCCAATTTGTGAACATCCTGTGCTGGTGTATTTCACCAAAATGTCTGTGATCCATATCATTTTAGGATTTCCTACCACATAAAGCAGACAATCTAAGATATTTCAGATCATCTTAACAACAAAAAGATACTCAGTCACTATAGCGACAATCATGTATCATTATCAATTGTAACTAGATCAGTCGGTGCCAACAGCTGATGTTTACTGAAAGAAATATTACCGGACATAGCAACTAGGCTTGAGACAAGTCACATACTACTGGCTCAATGATAAACTCCATGCATTATGAAAATTTCTTGTCAGCGCTATGTTGATATGAAAACTCAATAATGCTACACTAACTGTGAGTATCCAAGGTGTCTCTCTAAATGGGGAGACACTTTTTTCAGCTCACAAACAAATATTTTGACATTTGAAAACTTTCAGAAGAAAGGCTGTTGATTTAGCATGTTTAGAAGTACACTTATTAAACAACACAAGGTTTTGTTCTTGATGAAGTAAGCTGTTCAGCTCAACTATAAACTCAAGCGTAATGGTAGCACTGGTCATGATATGTAATGGCTATTTTGCCCTAACAGGCAACTATGCTTGTTGTGAGAGGCCACTAACGGGATCGGGTGGCCAGACTCGCTGACTTGGTTGATGCATTTCATCGTATCCCAATTGCCTCAATCGTTGCTCAAGTCAATCACTGGATTGTCTGGTCCAGACTTGGTAATTTACAGACCCCGTCATATAGCTGGAATATTGCTGAGTGCAGCGTGAAGCAATAGACAAACAAACAAACAAATCATTGGTTGATGCCATACAAATACTAAAGAAATTTCTTTTTAGCACATCATGATAACGTTGATATATAAACTCAATAAGGCATGATAAGCCTTTCAAGTGTCACTTTTCACGGAACTGTAATGTCTGCATTATGAAAATTTCTTGTCAGCGCTGTGTTGATATGAAAACTCAATAATGCTACACTAACTGTGAGTATCCAAGGTGCTCTCTGAATGGGGAGACACTTTTTTCAGCTCACAAACATGATTCAGAGGTTCTAGTGAAGCACTAGTAACATCATTTTGCCTCAATGTTCCTTCAATACTTATTTCAGGTCACTTACTTGCATGAGACAAGGTTTAGATGACTTGTTTATTGATATAATTTTTATTATACGGTTACCTCTAACTTAAAAAGGCAGGGTGTGTAATTATACTGAGGAATTCCATTCATCCGTCTGTCCTACCAACATGTCCAAGAATTTTGTTGTGCGACCTATAAATTGAAAACTGCTGAATATATTCTTTTCAAACTTGGTGTACACATTTTATACCTATTGGAGAGGTGCAGTGTGAAGTTTGTTTTCAATATTTGGATTTTCTGAAAATACAGATATTTTTCATGTATTTTTTCTTAGATGTTTTTGCTGAAACATTTGTGCGACCTATCACTATAACTATTTCATGGATGTTTTTCGAATTAAGGGAACGGTTTCCATACTAATAGAAGAGGTGTGGTGCAAAGTTTAATTTTGATATGTGTCCTTTTCTGTCATTCAGGGGTATTAGTGAACCCTGCTTACTTTTTTGTCTTGTTGATTTTATGTTGATTATTTTAATTATTTTAATGTTAATGGCCCTATGTTTTTCAGATTAAGTAACTTGTTCTATGGCCTGCCAGATGTCGCCCCACTTCGATACACTGTGTATTGTGCCATGTTGAAACTGGCTGGACAGGGAGACCTCAGCCTTGTGCCCACAGATCTGAACATGGTAGGTAATATAGCAGTAGACCTCGGCCTTGTGCCCACAGATCTGAACATGGTAGGTAATATAGCAGTAGACCTCGGCCTTGTGCCCACAGATCTGAACATGGTAGGTGATATAGCAGTAGACCTCGGCCTTGTGCCCACAGATCTGAACATGGTAGGTGATATAGCAGTAGACCTCGGCCTTGTGCCCACAGATCTGAACATGGTAGGTAATATAGCAGTAGACCTCGGCCTTGTGCCTTCAGATTAAAAAATGGTAGGTAATATAACAGTAGACCTCGGCCTTGTGCCTTTAGATCCGAACATGGTAGGTGATAAAGCAGTAGACCTTGGCCTTGTGCCTTCAGATCCGAACATTGTAGGTGATATAGCAGTAGACCTTGGCCTTGTGCCTTCAGATCCGAACATTGTAGGTGATATAGCAGTAGACCTCGGCCTTGTGCCTTCAGATCCGAACATGGTAGGTGATATAGCTGTAGACCTCGGCCTTGTGCCTTCATATCCGAACATGGTAGGTGATATAGCTGTAGACCTCGGCCTTGTGCCTTCATATCCGAACTTGGTAGGCTATATAGCAGTAGACCTCGGCCTTGTGGTGCCTTCAGATCCGAACTTGGTAGGTGATATAGCAGTAGACCTCGGCCTTGTGCCTACAGATCTGGACATGGTAGGTGATATAGCCGTAGACCTCGGCCTTGTGGTGCCTTCAGATCCGAACATGGTAGGTGATATAGCAGTAGACCTTGGCCTTGTGCCCTCAGGTCCAAACATCATAGGTGATATAGCAGTAGACCTCGGCCTTGTGCCCTCAGATCCTAACATGGTAGGTAATATAGCATCAGACCTCAGCCTTCCGAGTCGGAACTTGGCACATCCAGCTTGCTTCAGATATGCTGATACAAAATAACTATAACAAGTAGGAAGTACAATTCGCTGTGCAGAGTTACATCCCTTTGGATGACAGGCTCCTATTATCAGGCGTTTGAAGCCAAGATTTTGCCCGGAGTATGAAGTATGACTCAGCTTTTTATGATATTTATGCAAATAAGTTTTGTGTATCAGAATAATGAAACCATCCCTATCCAAAGTGGAGTATTTATACGTGGCTTGTCAAACCCGTGTTATGTATCCCAAGGTGGTAAATGTCTCAACACCTGCATCACTTTGGTCATTGATCCCACCTTGAGGTGACATGTTCAGAACACTGAATCACACAGCTTGTGTTTCATGGCCCCCTTGATTGTCTCCTATAGGTTCAGGTCTGCCTTCTGGGCCTAGTGGTAGAGTGTCAGCCCGGAGAGCTGAAGGTCCAGGGTTCGATCCCCTGGCCCCATCATACCAAAAGAAGTTAAAAGATGGTACTTATTTTTACCCTGTCTGGCACTCGGCATTAAGGGGCTAAAACAAGGACTGGTCGGCTCGGAGTCAGTATGCTGTGTCTGAGTGGGGTATGGGCAGTCGGGTAGCCTAGTGGTTAAAGAGTTGGCTCGTCACGCCAAAGACCCAGGTTCGATTCCCGACATGGGTACAATGTTTGAAGACCATTTCTGGTGTCCCCTGCCATGATATTGCTGGAATATTGCTAAAAGCAGCGTAAAACCATACTCATTCACTCACTCACTGAGTGGGGTATTCATGTTAAACTGTGGCGTGGTATCTCAGTGGGCTACCACTATAAACCCGGATTAGTCCAGCTCAGTACAAGCAGCCAAACAAGCACGCATCCACGCACCCACGCACATGGACATCGCTGTATAACTGCAATAATCTTGAATGCGACGTTAAACCCTATTTCACCTCGGGCGGTCGGGTAGCCTAGTGGTTAAAGCGTTCGCTCGTCAGGCCGAAGACCCGGGTTCGAATCCCGACATGGGTACAATGTGTGAAGCCCATTTCTTGTGTCCCCCGCCGTGATATTGCTGGAATATTGCTAAAAGCGGCGTAAAATCAAACTCACTCACTCACTCACTATTTCACCTCACCTCCAGTGTGTTCAAGTTCAAGTGCCTGTGTTGTAGGTGAAGGAGTGGATCTCTCAGTGGAACATCAGCTCCCAGAAGACACAGCACATGCTCAGGATTCTCTACGATGCTCTCGTTGAAGGCAAGATGAGGTACGGCCCTATCCTAACTTCATCTAACAGTGTCCTGTTATAGTTAGAAAGCACTGTCAACATATTGACTATCCCCGGGCAGATCATACTAAAAGACATTAAGAGATGGTACTTGTTGTTACTCGACATTAAGGGGCTGAAAGGGAACTGGTCAGCTCGGGGTCAGAGTACTGGGTCAGAGTGGGGTATTTATGTTAAACTGCGGCATGGTATCTCAGTCAGCTAGCACTATAAAACGTGCATTAGTAGCCACACACACGAGCATTAGTAGCCACACACACAAGCATTAGTAGCCACACACACGAGCATTAGTAGCAGCACACACGAGCATTAGTAGCAACACACGAGCATTAGTAGCCACACACACGAGCATTAGTAGCCACACACACGAGCATTAGTAGCCACACACACGTGCATTATCTATCAATATCTACAGTAATACGAAAGAATCGGGTGGTCCTTAAACTCTTTTGAGACGTATAATATAGAAGTTGGATTCCATAGTTTCATGTCTTCAGACCATATTCTTGTAACTACAAATGGAAAACTTGTAAATGTTGGCCTCTATCTAGCCTTGCTCCAAGGCTGTACTGGAAGACAAGTTATGGATGTGTACTAATTCTGTCTTCCTAATAGGTAAGTCTAGATATGTGGACAGTAAGGACTCTTATAGGGACAACTTGTTCTTATTATTTACATAATCTAGAACAAGGAACAGTCATTAAACTTATACTTACTGCCTGAAAGTCTAGCCTTTAAATAGAAGATGCCATTCTCAGGAATGCATAGATGCTGACCTTATTATTTCCCTGCACGTGTTGTCCTGTACAGTGAACAAGCCACAGCGGTGATGATCGAGCTGCTCGGAACTTACACAGAGGACAACGCCTCCCAGGCTCGGGACGACGCCCACAAGTGTATTGTCACATGTCTGGCGGATCCCAGCACTTACCTGATGGATCACCTGTTGTCACTGAAGCCAGTCAAGTTCCTGGAGGGAGAACTCATCCATGATGTGAGTAACCTACCACTAGTCTGCACAGCCACACTTCCCAAACACACACCTCCGACTCATTCCCAAGAAGACATTCTTGATATATATTCATTCTATCAGGATCTGTAGTCGGGACTCATATATTCCATCAAAGCATCATTTAATAAGTCCCCGTGAAGATCAGGGCCCACTTGCACAAAGCGATCTTAGCGCTAAGACTATTGTAAGCCTATGTTAAAGTATGGGAGTTACGATCATCTTAGCGCTAAGATCGCTTTGTGCAAGTGGGCCCTGAAGATCTGGGAATTGGTCAGGCTCACTGATTCGGTTGATGCATGTCATCGTATCCCAATTACGTCAATCAATACTCATGATGTCAATCACTGGAATGTTTGGTTCAGACTCAGTTATTTTCAGACTACCATCATGTAGCTGGAATATTGTTAAGTGCGGCGTTAAAAAACACACAAAAGCTATGAGGGTGAATGGATCCAGGCCATCATGACAGAATGTAGACATGATACACAGGATAATGAACAAGGTCCATATGGTAGTACTTTATTGAAATAATGGATCATTAAAACGTTCATGAGATGGTACCCAAACTCTGTTGTTAGCTTTTAATGGCTCTCAGAAGGAAACTTGAGGACACATCTTGGTGTCATCACCCTATTAAATCTTCAGATTTTAAACAGAAGTCCTCTTCTCTGTCAACTGTCCATAACTAGTTGTGCAAGTAGTAGTATCTTGCTACCTGTACCTCATGCACTTGTGTAAGGCGGGAAAACCTCTTCTTTCATGTGTGTGTTAGTGGCAACATTGTAAAATTTCTGAGTTGACAGTTTGGTAGTTGCCATGCTATAATCAGATCTTCAGAAAGATTAGGTTTGTTATTATACGTATCTTTGTTTATTTTACATGTTGCCACTGTCATACCCACACTGGTGGATTTCAGTTTCAGAAGACCTGAATCAATTCAGGCCTCCTCACATCACTTTGACTCACCATGATACAACTGGAATACTGTTCAAAATGGCTTTAAACCAAATCTCTTGTACGCACTTTTGTGGGGGATTTTAAAATGGGTCTTTGTCTTAAACAATGAAAAGGAGATGATACTATAGATAATTTGATAAAAAGGAAACAAATTTATATACATGATATATGTAATCTTTGAGAATTCAAATCAGGGAGAATATACTTTTTCTGAGTTTGTGTTTTTTATTTCAGCTCCTGTCAATATTTGTTTCGGGGAAGCTTTCACAATATCAGCAGTTTTACAAGAACAACACAGACTTTGTGAACTCACTAGGTAAGTGGCACGTGAAACAGGATTTGTTTGTTGTCTTACGCTTCATGCAATATTACAGCTTTATGAAGATGGACTGTGAATAATCAAATCTGGACAAAACAAAACAGTGATTGAAAATATGATCCATTGGAATCCATACTATCTACCATATCTTCGAACCTGACGACCCAATCCATTCAGTCACCTCGTATTATGCACATAGGTTGATGAAACCAGTTCTAATCCTGGAGTCCCTTCAGAGTATTAAACGTGCGGTTGGGTAGCCTAGTGGTTAAAGCGTTTGCTCATCACGCCGAAGACCCGGGTTTGATTCCCGACATGGGTACAATGTGTGAAGCCCATTTCTGGTGTCCCCCCACCGTGATATTGCTGGAAAATTGCAAAAAGCGGCGTAAAACCATACTCACTCACACTCCCTCACTCAGGATATTAAACATATAAAATACTCAAAAGCAGTTTTTGAACACCTGATTTTTTCATATGACTATAGTTAATCGATTTAATGATTTAATCAATAGATCTTTAGTGGTTCAGCCCGGGAACTACAGGTACTGATAACATGACTCTGTTTCACATGAAATTACTCTGTGTGAACCCTACTGATGACTCAAAGGTGAGTGAGTGAGTGAGTTGGGTTTAACGCTGCTTTTAACAGTATTGAAGTTATATCGCGGTGTGTCAGCTTAATGTGGGAGGAAAGCCCGAAGTGATGCAGGTCTCAGACGTTTACCACTTTGGTGAAACCCATGAGCATGGGTATGGTGCTGACAAACCTAGAAACATAATCGGGGTGAACAGGGATTCGAGCCCACAGTCATAGGTTACTGGCGTGCCCCAGGGACACAACTCTGCACAGAGAATCGCGGCGCCTTAGACGACTGGTCCGCCCGTGCCCCCTAATGACTCAAAGGATTCAGTTATGGTTGACGTCTCTGCAATATGAATTATATACTGATGAAAGTCCATAAAAGGCCACTATGCTTGTCGTTAGAGGTGACTAACGGAATCGGGTGGTCAGGCTCGCTGACTTGGTTGATGCATGTCATCGTATCCCAATTGCGTGGATCAATGCTCATGATGTCAATCACTGGATTGTCTGGTCCAGACTCGATTATTTACAGACTGCCGTCATATAGCTAGAATATTGCTGAGTGCTGCGTTAAACAACAAACAAACAAATCTGTTGAAAGTAAGGTTACAATCCAACTAGGAATCTTTGGAGTAGGTTGTATGGAGTCGAGTGGGCAGTGGAAGATCCGGTGCAGCATGCGTTCCTCAGTTGTTTCCTTATTAGGAATTGACTAGACTAAAGTCATGCTAGATTGTTTTGTGACAATCCAATGTTTGTTCAGATTAATTTGTTCAAACTAAGGCAAATCACAAACATTTTTTTGTCATAGATTAAGCCCTGTTCTCTCATTATTCAACTTTTTTTTCAAAGGTTTTTTTCTTAACAATTTTGAATCATACCTGGTAGAAAGAATTCCTTGGTTTGCATTTAAATTTCAGAGTAACAAGACATGAACAAGACCAAGGCAGTGTATTTGCCCAAACATTGTATGGCAATATATTGCAATTTATTGGGGGCTAAAGTATATTGGGAACTAAAGTATTTGACAGTGATAGACAATAATTGTACATGCAGATCCTATTTTTTTTACAAAAGTTATATATTACTCCACATTGTCAATCACTGAGAACAACGTGAGCGAAAAATCACTTCTTCACTTCCACCGTTTTGTCAATTCTTTCACAGGGCAACATCATTTTTAAATGAACTTTGGTATAGAATTGAATTTAAATAATACCGAAACTTGATATGTATATTTAACCAGTATTCCGGAACACAGAACAAATATTGCAATACGTATCCTTTGAAAGGTGTATTACAGTAGGTGTACACCAGAGTTGACCACATGGCACTTTGGACATCTCTCCATTTCAAGCTGATGCAGAAATATATCTCAGACTTGTGAAGATTCCGGGGTAGAATAGGTCTTCAGCAACCCATGCTTGCCGTAAAAGGCGACTATGCCTGTCGTAAAAGGCAACTAACGGGATCGGGTGGTCAGGTTCGCTGACTTGGTTGATACATGTCATCGATCCCAATTGAGCGGATCGATGCTCATGATGTCAATCACTGGATTGTCTGGACCAGACTCAATTATTTACAGACCGCCGTCATATAGCTGGAATATTGCTGAGTGCGGTGTTAAACAACAAACAAACAAACATAATATATCTCATATACTTTTTAAGAGGTGTTTCCAGGTTAGAATTGATCCCCTGTGCTTGTGGTAAATAAAACCTTAATGAACATCGTGGTCCCACTTGGAGACTTGGTTGATAGCGTGTCCTCATACACCGACGGTGTGGATTGATGGTCACAATATCAATCACTGAATTGTCCACATTCAATTTTCCATCATACAGCTGTAATATTGCAGAGTGCGTCAAACAAGAAATACACACGTTCCAGAGGTGTAGAACTAGATGATAACTCAATGAATATGATAAACCCCAACACTACTATGAACTCAGGACTGTCTCTTCATAGCTTTTCAATATTATACGAGGTTCATAGCCCCATTGGTAAGCTTTTTATCCCCCCAGTTTGAAAAACGGGGAGATATAGCGATAACCATATCCATCAGTAAGCGTCCGTTTCCAGAGCAGAACTCCAAAACTGATAAATATTTCTTGTTGAAACTTTCTATATAGATCAGTCTAGTGGGTTACTGATGCCTTTTGATGATTTAGGATTTTTGTTCTTCTGATTTTGTTTTGTTTTCATGATTTTTCATGATGAAAACTACTTGTTTTCTGTTTGCAGAACATAACTCCAAAACCATTAAATATTTCTTTTTGAATTTGCTATAACAAACCTAAAAGGACCATTTATTTTAATTCGTTATAACCGTAGTTCGTTATAACTTAAGCAAATGTACGGAATATATACAGCAAATGGACAGGACCAAAAAACAGTTTATTATATCCGTTAGTTTGTTATGAGTGTGTTTCCGTTATAAACATAGTTTACTGTAGATCAGTCAAGTGGGGAACTGATGTCTTTCGATGATTTTTACTGAACAGAATTATTTTTTACTTGGCTGAACATGCTGAACTGCAGGTATCCAATGGCAATGAACCAAAAGTGTGGTAAAAGTAGCCAAACTCCATTTCCAAATTGCACAAGATGGGAGGGGGGGGGGGGATATGTCATCTGATGACTCTCAATACCGTGTGATGAACAAATACACCAGGTCTGAGACACATTAGTTTCAAGCATCATGAAAATTTCTTTCAACATATGTTGTTGTTGAGAAATCAGTGATGCAATATTACTTTGTGGGCATCCAAATTATTTTCTCTTCATTCGAAAATAATTTTTCACCTCACAACATTCAAGATAGTCAAATATGTATGTACAAAATACTGACATCTTGCAACACTATCCTGTGAAGCTGATTATGTTTCCAGGTTTGTCAGCCCCATACCCGTGCTCGTGGGTTTTACGGAAGTGGTGACACTTAGTTACACGTAACCAGTCAAGTTGTTGGTTTCACCAAAGTGATAAATGTCTACTTTCCTCCCACGTCAAGCTGACACCCTGCAATATAACTGGAGGGGCGGTCGGATAGCCTAGTGGTTAAAGCGTTTGCTCGTCACGCCGAAGACCTGGGTTCGGTTCCCGACATGTGTACAATGTGTGAAGCCCATTTCTGGTGTCCCCCGCCGTGATATTGCTGGAATATTGCTAAAAGCAGCGTAAAACCATACTCACTCACTCACTAAATATAACTGGAAGACTGTTCAAAGCGGCATTAAAGCCAACTTGCACCACTGAACCACACAGCTGTCCTACAGTGTGGGTGTTCCTATATTCCAGGTCTCTCCCATGACCAGAACATGAGGAAGATGCGGCTGTTGACGTTCATGCAGATGGCGGAGAACAAGAAGGAGATTGAGTTTTCCATCATCCAGGAGGAGATGCAGTTGAGCAGCGAGCAGGTCGAGGAGTTTATCATTGATGGTAAGCACATGATGTTGCAGATGCTGTGGTCGATACAACAAATTTTGAATGAAGTTATTATGACAAGTGTAAGCATGGTAAGTGTCCTTGTCTCAAGATACAACCGCCTCCGTGGTCTTATGGTAGAGCGTCCGCCCGGAGAGTGGAAGGTCCGGGATTCGATCCCTGGCCGCGTCATACCAAAAGACGTTAAAAGATGGTACTTCTTGTTACACTGTCTGTCACTCGGCATTATGGGGCTAAAACAAGGACTGGTCGGCTCAGAGTCAGTATACTGTGTCTGAGTGGGGTATTCATGTTCAACTGCGGCATAGTACAAGCAGCCACACAACACACACACGTCTATGCACGTCGCTATATACCGTATTCGACGTAATAAGCGCCCACGGCTTTATTTGCTAATATATTGGCTAGTGAACAATCCCAGTTGGCACCCTTTCTGATTCTGATGTACACAAGACTTATTTATTCAAGTATGATACGCACTTGTTTGTTATATGCACCCTTAATTAATTTATGGGCAATTAAATTCTCGAAAATATATCTATCGTGTGTAATACACACAGATTCTTCTTTTATTTCATTTTAGGCTGTCAGCATAAACCACAAAATTTACAATCTTTCAACCCTTTTTTTATCTCACCAAAATTGTATTCTGTTGGTGTCCTTGTGGCGTTATACATACTTTAGCATGGAGGTTTAATCAATGACATTCTCAAATTAGATGTTTGCAAAAGTTTTTAAATGTGTAAAGTATCATTGGAAAACTGATTGCATGAACAAAACTTTTCCTAACTTCAAAACTGTGATGTTATCATGGTTATAACATATTTTGTTTGATATGCCAATAACTCAAGGTGGGTGAAGTCGGTTTCACAATTCTTATCTCACTGTTAGGGAAGTGTGTTTATTGGTACGATGCCAGAACCATTTTACATCCAAGTCAGTTAAAGATGTTCGTTCATACACGGTCAGAGAGTGATCAACAACCAATTTACCAGGAAATTCTTGATTAAATGTGTCAACATAGGTCTGCTCCTCCTTCAACCACTGGGGTGTCGGGGTCCAGTGCTTAAAGCGTTTGCTCGTCACTCTGAAGACCCAGGTTCGGTTGGGTACAACGTGTGAAGCCCATTTCTGGTTACCCCAGCTGTGATATTGCTGGAATACTGCTAAAAGTGGCATAATACCAAACCCACTTAACCACTTTCAGATTTTGTTTTGATTCTTTTGAATTGAACTCAAGAGGCAGTGAGGTAGCCGAGTGGTTACAGCTTTGCTCATCATGGCGAAGACCGGGTTCAATTCACCACATGGGTACAATGTGTAAAGCCCATTAAAGTGTAAAGCCCATTTCTGGTGTCCCCCGCTGTGATATTGCTGGAAAATTGCTATAAGCTGCGTAAATCCCTACTCACTCACTAACTCTGAAAACTCAAGGATTCCATATTGACCATTCCTGTCTGTTTCAGTTTTGAGGACTAAAGCTGTGCGAGCCAGAATTGACCAGATTCAGAAGAAAGTTGTGGTGATCTCGACGACCCACCGGACATTCACCAAGCACCACTGGCAGGTGCTCCGCTCCGCCCTGACCGAGTGGCAGGAGACTCTAAAAGGAATAGAAGGCAACTTCACTTCTCTGTCTGCACTCCAGACTCAAGTTCCTTCTTGAAATTGCAAATAGTTTCTCATTCATGTGGTCTGTGTACATACATCTGTCAATAATAAATCAAATAACCCGTCAACAGTCGTGTTGTTGAATGTCAGTACTAGGTGTGAAGGATTTAGTCTGGTATACTGTAGTAAGATGGAACTGTGTAGAAACTCCTCCAAATCTTTAGCCAGACCAAAGGGCAGGCAACTCCTGAAATTTGGCAGCCCTGTCAAAATAAAACCTGTCCCAAGTCTTCATGTAACTGCATAAAGTTATATTAAAAAGAATGAATTAATGAATCAAAATAACAACAAATTATTAGTGCTGTCACACATACTTTTTTCCATATTTATATACTGAACAAGTTTGGCATTATGAATATTTTGGGGGGATATTTTTATATGAAACTACTCAGCCTTCACTACAAAAAAATGTCCCCAAAATATTCATGATCCCCACCTTTTTTTTTGTTCAGTATATTTTAGATCACACACCTAGAAGAAAAAATCTGCCTGTCTGTCGAGCAGCTGAACTCGAAAACATACCAGTCCCATAACGAAAATTGCCAAGGGTAGCTATAGGCGTGGACCCTTCTGTTTTTGTAGTTGTTGCCTTGGGCATGTGTTTTCTTGAACCGGAAGGGATGTTATACCAGAAATGATTATAATATTATGGAGGCACACGACTTTGTTTCGAAATTGTGCTGCATTGGGCATGTGTTTTCATAAATTTCAAAGCGATTTCGGGTGGAACAGTTTAAGTTACAACAAATCGCTGTGCAGAGTTGCATTCCTTGGGCGTGCCAGAAACCTTTGATTGTGGGGTTATCAGTAACTTTTTTCTGTTAGTATGTCTGCAGTTTCACAGAGTTAGCACACGTTACACTGGGTATATCACACCGTATACCCCTCGAGGTTGACAACTTATGATGTTCAGCCTCAAACGTTTTTTTCATTTTTGATTATCCAACCATATCTTGGACCAGCAGACATCTCTGTTCGGTAATTGATAAGTGAAGCTAGAGTGAGACAGTCGGCGGCTATTTTGGACAGTGCTGCACCACTTCTCAGAATATAACTGAAAATGGAGAGCCAGACGATGGATATTGTAAAGGCAATATTTAACTGAGCTCAATAGCTGAGTCAGTATTCAGTATTGCATATGTAGCTTGTGGATCCCTGTTTCCTCATCCATGTCTACTGCCATGACATGCTTGCCGTAAAGGGCGACCAACGGGATCGGGTGGTCAGGCTCGCTGACTTGGTTGATACCTATCATTGATCCCAATTACATGGATCAATGCTCATGATATTAATCACTGGATTGTCTGGTCCAGACTCAGGTATTTACAGACCAGCGTCATATAGCTGGAATATTGCTGAGTGCGGCGTTATACAACCAACCAACCACTGGCAATTCCCTGATTTACCTGGCCATAATTCAGAGGTCCACCTGCTGCTGATTTTCAGACAACTGACTTGTCTGTGATATGTTCACTTACAAGATGGGGGCGGGCGGGGAGCCGAGTGGTTAAAGCGTTCACTCGTCACACCGATGACCCGGGTTCGAATCCCGACATTGGTACAAAGTGTGAAGCCCATTTCTGGTTCCCCCTCTGTGATATTGCTGGAATATTGCTAAAAGCGGCATAAAACCATACTCACTCACTCTCACTTACAAGACACCCAAGACGGTTTTCCTCAAACTTTGTCACAGTCACAAGCATTGCCTTAAAGGGGAAGTGTACACGCAAAAATCACTTTCTTTATTTTTCTAAACAAAACGCAATTTTAGAATTAATTAGTATCTGTGTTTGAAAATATACACTCATTTTTTTCACAGTGAAAGTAGGAAGCTCACAATAGTGTGAAAATGATATGCCGTTATGAGGCCTGAGTTTTTCGAGCTAAACAGGCCTGAGTTATCCCCCTTAGATTATGACGTAATTGGTGCCAATTCAACTGGGTCCCTGTCTATTCTCAACGCAAAAGAAATCAAGTACCAGTTGGCGGTAAAACAACATGGCCTACGACACACTCCGGCGCAGTGGTGACTCAGCATAACACTATGCTGGCTGGCATCTGAGACGCTAGAATCACACACCTAGACCTACACCACGTGAAGCGGCTCTAACAAAGCATGATGACGTCATAATGTTTATCAATTGGCACCAATGACGTCATATTGCAAGGGGCATAAGCCATGGTGTTTTTGTTGTGGAAATAGAACACTTGGTAAATGTGAAAAATATAAATCGTTTTAATGCGAAAAATATGTTAATTAATTGTGATATTTTTATATTTTTGTCTATGACACTTCTAGGTTAACACTTTTAATGTGGAAAAAGTACAAGAAAAATAGGTTAATTCTGTGTGAACTTGCCCTTTAAAGGTTGACCAGTGTCCCATGCCAGATGGGAGTTGTGGAGTAGCCTAGTGGTTAAAGGGAATAGGGCAGTGATGGGTCCTTTCTCAATCTCCAATAAAAACACAAAGTCATGTTTAATAAGTATCTGTATTTTATTTTGTACAGATATACAGTTTGCTATAAAACTAGAAAGCATTGTATATACTGCACCTGTTTAAGCCTGTACACAAAGTGGCCACACCCATTTATGGCTATAAAGAGGCCATGCCCATTTTTGGCAATAGAATGACCACACACCCCTTGAGGAGTCGAGGTCACATAAAGTACACACATTATGTCAGTCACACGATGTCACAGACACATATATAACTCATCAAAAACATACACAATCAAAATAGAGTTTCGGAAGATCGATCAACACAAGTATTTTCTGCTTACTTAGCTGTTTTCTCTCCTTCAGAGTAAGAGTGGAATGAAGATATTTGTCTGCATCACAAGGGTAGTTCATTCCACGCTGAGTATTTACGCTAAGTAGTTAGAGCAATGAAACCACACCGAGCCTGTTCCTCAACACGATCAAAGCGCTACGAATATGATAACTCCAATACTTTAACACAGACCTAAGATAGTCGCAGCGCCAAAATGTCTTTGTGGAACGGAACCCAGGTCATTTAAACAGAAAACTGCTTGAAATCTTCAAAAACTATAACTCATAACAGAACACAAATATCTTCAAATCATTTGGCATGTAATTCGAAAATTAGAAACATCGAAAGTAATTTAAATATAATAAATATCTAAAAGATGTTTCCTTCCTCAATAGTTGTTGCATAATCAGTTTGTCATATACCTCCAAAAACAGTTCTTGCTGCCATATGTGGTTTCAGTTTGTTGTTCATTTGACTCTTAAAGACGTATAAAAGATAAAACATCAATATTAAAAAAGTAAATCATTACAAAATAGCTGAAAACTTTGCAGACAAATTTGATCTACAAATTATCACAATTAATAACTGGCCTGTGGTTTTGTGACACATCTGTCATTGGCAAACAAAAACCTGGCTCTCCAGCATTGTCCAAATCAGGGCCTACTTGCACAGCGATCTTAGCGCTAAGATTATCGTAAGCCTATGTTAAAGTATGGGAGTTGCGATCATCTTTGTGCTAAGATTGTTTTGTGCAAGTGGGCCCTGCCAAATAAACAGCATCTAGCATCATGATTGCTTCACATTCTGCAAGCAAAATATTCACGGTACAGACTGTTATCCTTAATTTTTCAAAAGACTGAGTGTTTGAATTTTAGGGTCCTGAAGCCCTTAATGTTTGCTCCTATAATATAAAAATCTAGGGACTCTTCAATCTTGTAACATTAGGGCGATGACAAAAAAACCTTTTTTCGTGGTTACTTTTTGAATTCAGACATTGCTTGAGAACCAACTGATGCTTTGTTTAACCTTAGAGCGGTGCATTGTGGTAAAAGAGGAAGAAGAGTGAATTGTGGGTACAGAATAGGGAACAGGAAGCAGATAGATGGTGACACATCCACACTAACAACATAATATCTACAACTATTTATATCCATAAATAAGTAACTTGAGTTGTTTCTCATCAGCACTTGAGTTTCAAAGGTAGAATTAACAATATAAATATTTCAACATTACAATTCTTATCAGCAGTGACAAAAATTAATTAAATCTCTGAAAATCAAACTTTGGTACATAATGACACAGGTGAACTTTTCCCAAAAAAGCCATGACAAACTAATACCCTATCAGACATGTTGGTCAGCACAGTCACCAATTTAGTTATCTCTGACAGACAATTAACACCGATGTTCTCAGTGTTTGCACTGGCGGCTCCACCCCTTCAATCCACCAATTGCGTGGATCGATGCTCATGATATCAATCACTGGATTGTCTGGTCCAGACTCGATTATTTACAGACCGCCATCATATAGCTGGAATATTGCTGATTGCGGGGTTAAACAACAAACCAACCAACCAACCAACCTTCAATCCAGACGCATAACATGTTAACGGATCCCTCAGTCAATTATCGTCCAACCCCACCTTTTTCAAAATTTTGGATCCCCTTCTGGTTTGTACCAACAACTAGCTGATTCCCGTTCTAAAATTCCAAGTTTGATCAAATAACTTGTACCAACACACAAGCCCCATGCAAAAATTCATGAAAAAACCCAAATCAATTAAGTGTAAAATGAATAATTACTTATAATTAACCGCAATGTAGAAATAATGGTTTAAAGGTCACTATCTGACAGAGTGGGCGAGCGCAGGGTTAATTACACAGTTCCAGGGTGGGCGTTTCTTATAGACTATCCATCTTCCTCAAACGTCTGTATAATTTATTATGACACAAAACAATAAAGGGGAGGAATTATCAATGTTTTCTTCAGATACTGAAACGGGGATTATACACAAAAAAGGCGAGGTGCTTAATTATTTAAGCTTGTGCTTAAAATATTAAAACCACATTAATTTGTCATGGCCTTAATCCTGTTCAACAACAAAAAGAAGCACTTTGGAAGGCGACACTGGTGTTCGTAGCTGATGAAAGAGGCTACCGTCCCTTAACAAGTGCCATAACTTAAAACTTACCATTGTCACAGTATTACTGACATACAATATCAGTATAATATACAGATTCACTTTCTCCACATACTTTCAAGATTTGAATTCTTCTTAATATGATGAACCCTAATATATACAAGAATATTATTCAAAAAATAACTTTCAATGCATTAAAGAAAGAGTCTTGATAAATAATACTGAATTAGTATTTATATTCCATCCAAATGTATTCACAGTCTTTATCGGATATCATAAATTGAAGGTTTCGTAATTAAGGTATGGATCATCAGGCCACAAATTTAAGAATGTCTTGTTAAAAATTTGTTACATTACTAAAAACCATGTCGAGATAGGAATATTCCTATGCAGTGTACATCACATCTCTCAGTGTATATAAACATATATAAATAGTCATTCCAATCACTGTGCCTGGCCATACCAACAGTAAGTAGGCTTCGTTGTCGAGACACCAGCAGTTACACACCCACAAGTTGCTACATCCTCGGCACACAGGGGTATTCCTTCTACATAGATCCACTTTAAACTGTGATCCTAGATCTAGAAACGAACACATGGCAACAGAATCGCAAAACCACTTCCCTAAGAATTGGGATTTTCTTATTTGCTGGATGTCTTTTTAGTAAGTATGAGTTAGTCATGTTTTATGCCACTTCAGCAATATTCCAGCCATATCTCAACATGGGACAAGGCATACATTTCACACATTGTAACAATGGGGGTTGAATCCGGTTTTGGGTGTGAGGACTAAACCTACACAACATCCAGCATTTTTAAAAGGGAGGGTTTAAAAATATCAAAAAGAATTCGCAGACAAGATTACTGCCTACGACATACTACATTCTGGATCTCTCTATGTCTACATCTTGAACAAGAGGTCCCCCCGAATAATGTGGTTTCTTAAATAATGCTTTATTTTCATAATAATAGTGTGTCTGGTTTCATTGTGGAGCTATGTGAAGTAATACCCCATGTTTCCGGGATCATATTGGTGTTAACCCCTTGTCTGCTACCAAGGTAATAGCCTGGAACAAGACCCAAGGACACAAGGTCTTCATCCCCACTGACCTAACCAGCGTAACTGAATTATGTCATTATGAACTTTATAACATAGTCATGACTGTTTGGCAGACAAAGGGTTAACGCTCCTCCACAAGATACAGTTCCAGTCAAACATTTCCTCTCAATAAATGTTCATCAATAAAATCAGACTAACTCGTCAACACAGTCTTGCAAAATCGTGGTCTTCATTCACTCCAATATTATTCTTCACGACAAACAATACAACAAAGGGACAAAAAAATATCTGAAAATTCTGTGACCATATGCCAGTAAAATAAGTATGTAAGTTACACTGTGATGAAACACTCGAGCTTCGTACGACGTCTCGGTGTAATTAAAGTGACAATATAAACAATGTAATTTGACACCAGGTGACGGACATCAACTTGATGTCTCATGTGACCAGTAACATATCATTATCTTTCACAACAAAATGACAATAAAAATACTCTTTTCAACAAAAGAGAATATCGGCATGCTATAACATACAGCACATCCAACACTGGATTTCTTCATGTCTTAAACACTGTGTCACGGTGACCTACCTCAGCTGACTAGGTTATAAATGCTTATATCACTCTTATCACATGGTATCTTTGGACCAAAATGGTTTATACACATACTTAATGCAACATTGCTACTATTAATCTTGGTTTCATTTAATTCAGAGAAAGACAAATATTGAGGATAAACTTTACCTAGCCATTTCATTCAACACAGTATTTAGTCCTACTGAGGTACACTTGATTCATCACTGAGGTAAACATATCACGTCTACACTGGATATAGGTGGCGCTTTATACGACAGGGACCATCTCAAACTTTTTGAAGTCTTAATTCAACAACATCATATATTTAACCTACTCTCACAAGCAGAGAATGAATATTTTTCTGAATGAGAGTTTGCACTTAGATCTGGTCATATAATTTAAAGACTTTAAAACTTATGAAATGATCCCTATGACACAGCACCCTCTCTGTCTACGTTTTCTACATATTTTGTACACTTCCTTTACAATCAGTTCACACACATAATGTATATTTACAAATGAATTTGTACAATGTATAAATATCCCTATGGTCTCATTTTAGAGTTATCTCCCTTTGAACAAATTGAGGTAAAGTCAACTGAAAATCATTTGCTACAAAACCAGATCGTAACAAGCTTCATGAGATTTGCAAAGAGTATGCATTCCTTCACTGCAATAGCTCTGTCATAGAAATAATGTTTGATTATAATAATACTTATAAAATCCCACATTCATCGAACTACCATCAAACCTAAAGTCTTTAACACATTAATTATATAGTGTAACAACAGTAAACTGTAGAAACCAAGGGAGATAACTCTGTATCAATGACATGCCGATGCCTGTGAACAAATCTATTGCTTATCCCTGCCATCGAAAACATCCCCCTTTATATTGCCATTCCTCCTTCCTCAGTCACATACTTACTGTAAGTACTTACTAAATATATACAAAAGGTCAACCAGGACAAGAAGCTAAAGATCTTAAAGAGGGTCCTGATGAGGTATGCTGTTCAGTGTAAAACAACTAAAAAGTCAATTTTTTATCGTAAAAAATTCAGTTAGATATTGATAAAATAAATAAAACACACTACAGTTAAATGTAACTGTGCTACAATCTCATAAAAATCATACATAATTGGATCCAATAACACAACAAAACCAGTCAATGTTTGTATGTGCAAAACACAAACTGCAGTAATGAAACAAACGCTGTTCAAGCTGACCCCATGTTTCCGCATAAAGGTGATTTCATATTTTTCATTCAACTTCACATCTTGTCCAGTATTTGCATGTGTGTTTTACTGACTTAGCCGAAAAAATTATGACTATTTTCTACGGACTACTGACTTATGCCACATATCCACTACCACCAGGACTCTCTGAAACTCTTATTTTGTACTGGTTAAACTAAGTTTCTTTCAAACAAGTTATCAATCCTGAGAAAGTTATCTCACTTCTTTACAAACAGTTACACTTTAAAAACAACCTGATAAAACATATTCATAGTGGCTGAGGACAGAGGTTAAATATAAGGGCAATGAGGTGAAGGTCATCTCAAGGTGAGACAACAGTAATAAGGGGAGGTTACTCTTGCTACAATACCTGAGCAAGTAATGTGACTAGTGTCTTCATGTCAAAGGAGCAAGACCCTTTCTTGATACAATTTCCAGGGATTAAGTATGAAAAACAAAAAGTAAACATCACTATTATTCACACAACCTGATAATACCATCTGCCATTATTTTTGTCTAGACTGCTACCATTTCTGTCAACATTTCTACTTTATTCCAGAAGTGTGTACTTCCCCCAATATTTGAAGTATTAATATCAGAGCGAGGTAACTGTCAAACAATCTGTCAAATAATCTAAGAAATGGTCGGATGAAAAATATGCCCTTGAACAGATGTAAGAGCACACATCACTAAAATAGAGGTGCCATTTTTAGCCAATAGAACCTCCCTGGAAAGAGTATCAAGATATACTGCCCCCTTGTATTATTTACAACCTCTTGATGAATAATAGAACATTTTATATACATATTGAGCACTTTACATAGTCCACAAACTAAGAGAGTCCAGTAACATTTTGATCTTTGGCCCAGTTGGGATCTAGTCCCAGGAAGTATGACCTCTCTCCACTCACCAACAAAAAATCAGTTTTTGGTTTCGCCATCTTTGATCATGAGAGTACAGCACCAGAAAAACGTATACAAGAATCGACGGAATTCTGTGTAAAAAGACATCAACGCACCAATGTCATACAGACATCCATATTTGGAGAATTTGACAATGTGGTTAACTCCCTCTGTAAATATTCATCAATTTAAATAAGCATGGGAGGATGACTTCAGTAAAGTGTAGGGGTATACTGAGACCTGATTGTACCTTTAAATATCTTTTAACACTCACAGGTTTCCTGTTAGGGTTTCATATTTTTCAAGTTTTGACATTTTTGTATCAACTGACCTTCAAAGCGGAGAGGAATTTTTGCTTGACACTTACTTACACCTGCACTGAAACAATATGCTTATGTACGAGTTGGAGTAAACCTCGGTTTCAGGTTAATTCTTTTCTCACTTCTTGACTCTCACTGATTCACTATTCATTTCTTCATCATTCCCACTTTTACACACTTTTTGTCATTTCCACAGGATTGCGTCGGTACTTGCACAAGTAGAGTTTATCAGCAGTCGGAATTCCCAACAGGGGAGGGGGGAGGTGGGTAGGGATTAAAGTAGCTCCTTTCAGTTGACGGTGAAGGGGGACAACTCATTTCGTCCGAAAAATACTGACTTCGAGGAGTCGGGGGTGGGCAGTACGGGTCTGAGTCATAACTCATAAGTTCCGCAACAGAGTTGTTGAAATAATATTTTTTAACGTAAGGTTCACTGTCCTCACAAACGTCCGTGCTACACGGCGTGGTTGGGGGTGGTGGAATGTGATTGCGATATTGCCGCATTTTCTGTGACTTGTAGGGCCTGTTTGAACGCACAGTTGATAAACTGTTAGAGGAATAGTAGTACTCCCCTGCGTACGACCTGTCAGTCACAGGACTCGGAGGGGGGTTCAGAGTCTCTTTTGGGTACTGCGTGACAGTGGAGCTGCTTGATGATGCTCCAGTCACGTGATTGCGATCATATAATGGCGGCCCGCTTCCCGAGTCTAAAGACAGACCCGTGGCCACCGATTTCCCCCTTGATGAAAGTGTATGTGGTGGGGTACACTGGCCCTCTGAGTGCGGGTTCAGTGGCTTCTTAACCATCATAATGTCTCCGTCATCTAACGGATAATGGTTGGTTTTCCTCCGGCAAATAAACACAAGCACCACAACCAAGATCAGAAACACGATTCCTACGACGATAGCAATTGCATAATGAGTGACAGTTGGAGGCGGGGATCTCCGACCTTGGGTGCAGGTGATCTCATCTGACCCGTCTGTACAGTCGTTGTGGCCATCACACAACTTATTTTTACTTACACACTTTTGATTTCGACACTTAAACTCGTCCTTTCCACAACACTGTTCTTCGTCCGATCCATCCGCACATTTCTTTTTGCCATCACACACAAATTCATGTGAAATACACTGGCCATCTGTACATTGGAACTGGTTCGATCTACACCTTGGGCAGTCTTCCTCGTCTGATTGGTCCTCACACTCCCCCAAGTTGTCACAGCGCCACACGTTGGGGATGCATCGAATATCGCCACTCTTGCATGTAAAGTAATCTGGCTGACAGGTTGGTGGATCAGCACATGTCTTTGAGTCGCTCTTTAACTCCAGATTCAGAGGGCAGGAACACCTGACAGTCTCGCTATCTTGTGAGAAGCAAATATCGGAACACCCACCATTGTCTGTCGAGCACGGATGATTACTTATTTCAAGATTATGTTCTACGGCAATCAAATCTCGGAGATCTGTGATGCGACCCCGGATCCAAAGTCTGTTTTCGCCGTTTTTCTTGTTTATCCTCTCGATGACATTGTTATCTTTATCAAGCCAATACAGGAAGTCTCCAAACGCCGCCAATCCTCTCAGGGACCCCGTCAGACCATCCAATAGAATTTTCCTGTTTCCACCTTCCAAATCGGAACTTTCAATTCGGTGAAGATCATGATCAGCCCAGAAGAGTTTCCGTGACTTCTTATCAATGGCAAGAGACCCTGGATGACCCAGTGCTAGTTTGAAGAGAGTTATTCGTTCTGTGCCGTCCATGGCCGCCTTTTCGATGCGGGCTTGGCTCACCATGTTTGTCCAATACATGTACCTGAAACAGGTCGCATACAATCAGTTCATATAAACAGACATACTGGGTTTCCCCATGGGGATTCAGGGTAGGTGTTAGTGCACAGTGAAGGCTAATGGGGATCAGGTGGTAACAATGTCTGACTTAACTGTTTTTATCTGGACGATTATTTACAAGCCTCTGTTAAGTAACTAGTGAGTGAGTGAGTATGGTTTTACGCCGCTTTTAGCAATATTCCAGCAATATCACGGCGGGGGACACCAGAAATGGGCTCCACACATTGTACCCATGTCGGGAATCGAACCCGGGTCTTCGGCATGACGAGCGAACGCTTTAACCACTAGGCTACCCGACCGCCCCTGTTAAGTAAGTAGAACAAACAACCTTCAATGATACTGAATACCCAATTCCATTTACCAAGAGATTTCTCATGGCACTACATTGTTAATGGATAATCAATGGATCACTATGCACGCGCATTTCATCCTCAGCTCCCTGGGGAGAATACAACCCAAGCTGCCAGTGAGATGTTAAAAGGTCAAGTCACATTACCATCTCATCCTACCGAGTACCCATTTGCTGGTGGGTGAAAGTGGAGCATGAATCGAGCACTCAATTGCTACCTTGAACAAAGCAAAGGAATCAACGATAACATAAACTTCAACATACCCTCTCTCTGGGTGGAGAACGATGGACCTGGGTTTGATGTTGTTTGCGGACACGATCACCCCAACTGGTTTCATGTTGAGTCGAGTGACGTTGATGACGTTGTTACAGGTCCAGTAGATAGTTCGAGAGTACGGGTCGATGGCAAGGTCAAAGGGGATGAATTGTTTGTTGTTTTGGTTCGGCACCACCACTTCCAGCTGGGGACACAATCATCATATTACTGATGACATTCAACACGTTGTGACAACATTCAACACATAGCAACAACATTCAACACATTGCTGAATACAATCATCACATTACTGATGACATTCAACACATAGCAACAACATTCAACACATTGCTGAATACAATCATCACATTACTGGGGACATTCAACACTTTGCGACAACATTCAACACATTGCTGAACACAATCATTACATTACTGATGACATTTAACACATTGTGTAAACATTCAACACACTGAGACAACATTCAACACACTGAGACAACATTCAACACTTTGCGACAACATTCAACACATTGCAACAACATTCAACACATTGCTTAATACAATCATCACATTACTGATGACATTTAACACATTGTGACAACATTCAACACACTGAGACAACATTCAACACATTGCGACAACATTCATTGCTTTACTACTTTCACACATTTGTTTACAACATTCATCACCTTGCTTACAACATACAATGCAAAACTGACTATATTCGCTGGACATGATGAGTTTATATATAGCATTAATTTGATAGTGGTTGCTATAAGTAATGGTGAGTTGGTATGATCTGCCATTCAATTCACATATGATTATGCTAAAATAAACGTGAACAATATTGAATCTTTAATAAAGTTAATAAGATATATTGATAGATTGCAAACACAAGTCCAAATATACAATTAACACTATTTATAACCCAACAATGTAAAAACAGGATGAACTTGTGCATTTCAGTATGGATTTGTTGAGTGTCACGGACTGAAAGTAATGAGTTGCGAAAATAATAAAAACTAAATGTCTGTGAACATTATGCCCATCCCCCTCTTCACAGCAGTATGTTTTGGAAAAAAACGTTTGCACCATACACAACAAAATATGGTACTTCAGACAAAATTCATTACAACAACAACAAAAGCTACAGGCAGTGTTAACATTGAGACCTTAGTTCCGTTATCGTGTGCTCGCTTGATGTTCTTTTGGCGGCCGTCAATCCAGTATATGAAGTCATCGACCGGGTCAAACGCCAGGGCCTTGATGTTACGCAGGCCGTGTATGGGTAGGACTACTTCTGGGTTGTCCACAGTCTCCGACTCCTTCTTGTCCATGGCCAGACGACTAATAGCATTGCGCTGGGCCAGCAACAGGTAGTCCTCAGGGGCTGCAAGGGGGAGACAACTCTCTTTACACTACATACAATGGTAAAATATCTGAAAATATATCCCAGTTAAAAAACAACATGCTGGCCCAAACAGGGCTTTACTGGTCATACTCACCAGAAAATAATCATTCCACTACTATAACTTTTTTTTTTAAAATTTCTGGCTTCCCACTAATTCGTATTTCTGAAAGAACCCTTGTCAGGAAAATGGGAATTTAATACAATAATATTAAACTAAGCATCAAAGCCTCTTCCTCTATATTGGTCCTACTATCAGGGTATTGCAAGTCACCTTACAAAGCCATAGGACAGTAACAAAAATAACAGCATGAATTGACAAATGTTTCATTCCCAGGTCTTTGATATCCTTTAGAAGTTGGTAGAATGTGGAGAAACAAGGTATATGGATTCAACTTCTCAATTCTTATACACAATATTTGAGGCAAGTTGTTGACTCCCCTACTGAAGGCTGAGTAGCATCAAAATGTCCTTTATAATTAACCATTGGTTGGTTGGTTGGTTTTTGTTTAACGCCGCAGTCAGCTATATGACGGCGGTCTGTAAATAATCGAGTCTGGACCAGACAATCCAGTGATTATTATCATGTGCATCGATCCAATCAATTCGGATCGATGACATGTATCAACCATGATTTCTCAATTACAGGATACAGGAGTTGGAATCCGCTTGTGTTGTTTCTGTAAAGTGTGAAGCCCTGTGACGTACCTGAGCATGTCTTGTTGTCGATGTTGAGGGTGTAGTGTGTGGGGCAGGAGCAGTAGTAGGTGTTGTTGCTGGTCTTGTCGGTCTTGGGGTGGGACAGGCACAGATGAGAGCACGCCCCGTTGTTCACACCACACTGGTTCCAGCCTGGATAAACACATGAGACAATGAGACAATGAGACAATGAGAACCAAAGACATTTAAACTCCACACCACTTCCTTTAGATTTTGACACCTTTATTTTTTGTACAGGAATAGTTGTTCGCTGGACAGTACCCACTCATAGATATTTAATCAAAATAATTATAAGGCCAATACGCTCCCCATGCCCAGAGAAGGGGGCACCCACTCAGCCAGAGCCTCCTCTGGCCCCACTCACTAGGGACCCACTCCCTAGGGCCCCAATCACTAGGGCCCCACCTACTATGGCCCCACTCACTAGGGCCCCACTCCCTATGGCCCCACTCACTAGGGCCCCACTCCCTAGGGCCCCACTCACTAGGGCCCCACTCCCTATGGCCCCACTCACTAGGGCCCCACCTACTATGGCCCCACTCACTAGGGCCCCACTCCCTAGGGCCCCACTCACTAGGGCCCCACTCCCTAGGGCCCCACTCACTAGGGCCCCACTCACTAGGGCCCCACTCACTGGGGCCCCAATCACTAGGGCCCCAATCACTAGGGCCCCGGTCACTAGGGCCCCGGTCACTAGGGCCCCACTCACTAGGGCCCCACTCACTAGGGCCCCACTCCCTAGGGCCCCGCTCCCTAGGGCCCCACTCCCTAGGGCCCCACTCCCTAGGGCCCCGCTCACTAGGGCCCCGCTCACTAGGGCCCCGCTCACTAGGGCCCCCCTCAATAGGGCTGGGGTCATACAGTAACTGTGCGATACGATTCGTATCATGATACCTTGCTCACAATCACAATACTTGTATCGAGAAGGAAAAACTCGCGATCCACCGATGCATTTGTGTATCGTCCCACTACTACCACTCACCAGACTGCCGTGAGGCATGGAAAACCAGGATATCCATGACAAACTCCACCCCTTGCTGGATCTTCGTGCGATTGTCCCCACTTGACTTGTTGGCCCGTTCGATGGTCTGGCGCTTGACATCTGTCCAGTAGACGAAGTCCTGGTACTGCGTCAGTCCCATTGGATGGGGGAGTTGCTCCTTCACAACAGTGAGACGATTCTTGCCTTCAATGACAGATACCCATATGTCAACAACATTCCTGAACAACTATCAATCAAGGTAACGTCAGATCAGAAACACAAATCAAACATCAAATCTGAAATCTTTTTGTAGCAGGGCGTGTAGTCATCCCACAGATGACATCCTTACCTTGTCAGCTTACTGACGGGGTTAACCTCTTTGGTCATGTGGACAAGGCGTCCGACCTCGGATCAGAAGGTCCGTGGTTCGAATCCCATCAAGGGACTCAGAAATTTTATGGCCGCTATATTGGCGCCCAACTGGGGCTGAGCACGTTCATATTAAATTTGTTCAAAATAAGCCTCAGTACCCTACTATGCGGCCCGGGACATGCTTTCTGTTGACGGGAGAGTACGTAGCAGGGCGTGGAGTTATGGCCGCTACATTTTCATTCCATTCAAATTTCACAATTTTGTTCCTACTATTTGACGAGTGTATCAAACATATACTCCTCTGAGTGTTATCATTAAAAGTTGCTCAAATTATATGGAATTACACGATCCATGAAAACTTCAACTACATTCAACTGTCATAAAGTAATAAAGAGCGCTATTAATAACAATAAGAATAGTAAGGCGATTCACCTATTGTCGATGCTGTTTCATGATTTGGGGTGTAATTTTGTTTATCTGCCATGATGTTGTCGGTTCAACAATTCATAGCACCTGATTCGTATGTTTTAATGTAACCATGTGCTGTGCAGGTGTCGACATTGTGCCCTGCACTGCCTGTATGACGATGGACTAACAAACTATCAGTGAATGGTCTTGAATAACTAGGGTGATTTCTTTGTGCATGGTGACTGTGCACACAAGTGTTGCCTGTTGATTCATTATGTAGCAGGGCGTGGAGTCATCCCACAGATGACATCCTTACCTTGTCAGCTTGCTGACGGGGTTAACCTCTTTGGTCATGTGGACAAGGCGTCCGACCTCGGATCAGAAGGTCCGTGGTTCGAATCCCATCACAGGACTCGGAAATTTTATGGCCGCTACATTGGCGCCCAACGTGGGGCTGAGCACGTTCATATTAAATTTGAGCAAAATCAGTCTCAGTACCCTACCATGCGGCCCGGGACGCCCCTTCTGTTGACGGGGGAGTATGTAGCAGGGCATGGAGTCATCCCACAGATGACATTCGTACCTTGTCAGCTTGCTGACGGGGTTAACCTCTTTGGTCATGTGGACAAGGCGTCCGACCTCGGATCAGAAGGTCCGTGGTTCGAATCCCATCACGGGACTCGGAAATTTTATGGCCGCTACAATTACATACCCATCATGTCGGAGGACTCGATGGCCTTGTTGTCCAAGTTGGCCCAGTAGAGGCGGCGCTCGCCGTAGTCGATGGTGAGGTCCTGGACACGACCCAGCTTGGAGATGAGGATGTTCCTCCTGCTGCCGTCCAGGGAAGCCCGCTCAAGGTGTGGATGTTCCCCCCATACTGTCAGGTACATGTACCTGTAACAGAGACACACAGGTGAGAACAAACAAACACACAGGTGAGAACAATCACACAGGTGAGAACAAACTCACAGGTGAGAAGCTGGTAAAACAAGTGGTTAAAATCATACAAGATCCATGCCATCAGCATTTGATCACATAATCAATCAGATCACATAATCAATCAGGTCACACAGTATTTTACAAAATATTTACACAATTATTTTTTTTACAATAACATATTTGAAAAAACACATGTAGTCCCTGATAGCAGGTTTCTTTACACAAAAAGTCTCACCCATTTGGAGGATCTAGTGCAAGAGCACGTGGACTGTTCAAATCCCGCCAGATCAGCACTTTCCGAGAGGACCCATCCAGTCGCGCCATCTCAATGCGGTTCTTGCCAGTGTCGGCCCAGTAGATGTTGTGGGCAACCCAGTCGACTGCCATGCCCTCGGGGTAGTTCAGACCAAACTCAATGATGTGCTCCAACGCGCTGCCATTCATGAAAGCTCGACTGATACTCTGTGGAGAACATGGGCATTCTTAAACACTGAAGACATTGTGGTAATCCAAAATCTGAAGACACTGCTACCACCTAATCCTGAATTATTACTAACCAATCTCAGAAGACCTTGCCCTCACCTAATCTCACTCATAGAAACCAATCGCTGAAGATGTTGCCTCCAACTAATCCCATCTAAGTACCAACAATTTCAGAAGAGTTGTCTCCACTTAATCCAGTCTCCGTACCAACAATCTAAGAAGAGTTGTCTCCACTTAATCCAGTCTCCGTACCAACAATCTTGGAAGAGTTGTCTCTACATAATCCAGTCTTAGTACCAACAATTTCAGAAGAGTTGTCTCCACTTAATCCCATCTTACTACCAACAATCTTGGAAGAGTTGTCTCCACTTAATCTTATCTTACTACCAACATTCTTGGAAGAGTTGTCTCCACTTAATCCAGTCTTATTACCAACATTCTTGGAAGAGTTGTCTCCACTTAATCCAGTCTCCGTACCAACAATCTTGGAAGAGTTGTCTCTACATAATCCAGTCTTAGTACCAACAATTTCAGAAGAGTTGTCTCCACTTAATCTTATCTTACTACCAACATTCTTGGAAGAGTTGTCTCCACTTAATCCAGTCTTATTACCAACAATCTCATAAGAGTTGTCTTCACTTAATCCAGTCTTATTACCAACAATCTTGGAAGAGTTGTCTCCACTTAATCCAGTCTTATTACCAACAATCTCAGATGAGTTGTCTTCACTTAATCCAGTCTTATTACCAACAATCTCAGAAGAGTTGTCTCCACTTAATCCAGTCTTATTACCAACAATCTCAGATGAGTTGTCTTCACTTAATCCAGTCTTATTACCAACAATCTCAGAAGAGTTGTCTTCACTTAATCCAGTCTTATTACCAACAATCTCATAAGAGTTGTCTTCACTTAATCCAGTCTTATTACCAACAATCTCAGAAGAGTTGTCTCCACTTAATCCAGTCTTATTACCAACAATCTCAGAAGAGTTGTCTTCACTTAATCCAGTCTTATTACCAACAATCTCATAAGAGTTGTCTTCACTTAATCCAGTCTTATTACCAACAATCTCAGAAGAGTTGTCTCCACTTAATCTAGTCTTATTACCAACAATCTCAGATGAGTTGTCTTCACTTAATCCAGTCTTATTACCAACAATCTCAGAAGAGTTGTCTTCACTTAATCCAGTCTTATTACCAACAATCTCATAAGAGTTGTCTTCACTTAATCCAGTCTTATTACCAACAATCTCAGATGAGTTGTCTTCACTTAATCCAGTCTTATTACCAACAATCTCATAAGAGTTGTCTTCACTTAATCCAGTCTTATTACCAACAATCTCAGATGAGTTGTCTTCACTTAATCCAGTCTTATTACCAACAATCTCATAAGAGTTGTCTTCACTTAATCCAGTCTTATTACCAACAATCTCAGAAGAGTTGTCTTCACTTAATCCAGTCATATTACCAACAATCTCATAAGAGTTGTCTTCACTTAATCCAGTCTTATTACCAACAATCTTGGAAGAGTTGTCTCCACTTAATCCAGTCTTATTACCAACAATCTCAGATGAGTTGTCTTCACTTAATCCAGTCTTATTACCAACAATCTCAGAAGAGTTGTCTCCACTTAATCCAGTCTTATTACCAACAATCTCAGATGAGTTGTCTTCACTTAATCCAGTCTTATTACCAACAATCTCAGAAGAGTTGTCTTCACTTAATCCAGTCTTATTACCAACAATCTCATAAGAGTTGTCTTCACTTAATCCAGTCTTATTACCAACAATCTTGGAAGAGTTGTCTCCACTTAATCCAGTCTTATTACCAACAATCTCAGATGAGTTGTCTTCACTTAATCCAGTCTTATTACCAACAATCTCAGAAGAGTTGTCTCCACTTAATCCAGTCTTATTACCAACAATCTCAGATGAGTTGTCTTCACTTAATCCAGTCTTATTACCAACAATCTCAGAAGAGTTGTCTTCACTTAATCCAGTCTTATTACCAACAATCTCATAAGAGTTGTCTTCACTTAATCCAGTCTTATTACCAACAATCTCAGATGAGTTGTCTTCACTTAATCCAGTCTTATTACCAACAATCTCAGAAGAGTTGTCTTCACTTAATCCAGTCTTATTACCAACAATCTCAGACGAGTTGTCTCCACTTAATCCAGTCTTATTACCAACAATCTCAGAAGAGTTGTCTCCACTTAATCCACTGTACCTAAAAACATCCATAAGAACATATGATATGCATAGATTTCTTCAAAGTCAACACTCTTATAGTATTTAATTTGACAGGAATGTGGTCACTGTAGCATTTGAGCAGATACTAGTGCTTGGACAAGTGCAGTATATAAATGTATAATACATTAACAATTAACAAAACATGTCAAATAATTTATATTGTTAATGATTCACTGAACATAACAAATAATACATCAACTGCTGACTTGTTATTGTATCCATGAATTAATATTTGTATTCATTACCCTATATTCGTGATACAAATCTTATTCGCCTCATAGTGTATTCATTGCAGCCCTGATGCGTACACAAGACCACCTACCTTGAGTGAGCCATCAGTCCAGTAGATCCGGTTGTCACTGATGTCGAAGTCAATGGCCAGCGCCTTCTTCACCCCTTGCAGCGGGATTGGCTGGTTGTTCCGGTTAGTTTCCAGGGAGATACGTATGATATCGGAGCTTTTCGAGTACAGCAGGAAGGCTTCAGGAACAATGCAGATCTTGCCGGTGCTGACCAGTTCCAGGCCCATGGGACAGGCACAGACAGGTCCACCCGGCCGATGCAGACACAGGTGGCTACAGCCACCATTGTTGTCAGCGCAAGGGTTGGTACCTGGCAACACAACATGCAGAGTGAGTGAGGGAGGCAGAAAGGTTGTACTCAGCTTATAGTATTGTTCTAACAGTATCAAGCAAGGGAGATAAGTAGTGGCTTCTCACATAGTACCTACATTGAAACCCTGGGTCATGGACTTGAAGCAAACGTGTGAGTGAGAGCGAGTATTGTTTTATTTGTAACAATATTCCCGCAATATCATGGCTGGGGAAAACAGAAATGTGCTTTACATTTACCCAGATGGGGATTCAAACCCAGGGCTTCGGTGTGATGAGCAAACACTGTGACCACTTGGCTTACAAACCATGATAGAAGATGGGACAAACAAAACCACAAGGTCACTGAAGGTGCATCTGTTAGGAAACTCATGGAATATTGATTTACATTCATATAATAATATATAAATAGCTGATTGTAACTTCTTTACAACTGATTGTGATGGGGAAAAATACATGCAACCAAAACATAATTGCTGAACTGTTATTACCAACATCAATTAACCCCTCCCTCACAGACTGGCCTCCACGTGCAACTGATGTCTTCCCCACTGTCAGAGTGAGTGTGTAAATGTTACTTACAGCGGTGTTCCCAATAAATTAAAACAAACAACGACCAAGCAATCAAACTCAAATTTCCATAATCGAACACAAACAATTCTGCCCTCTCTCTCAACCCGGAGACACTTTTCCATCTGTAGAATGTTAAGTCACTGCTTATTTGAAAAATATACAGGAGAAAAAGTGTCTTTATTGGAAAATAAGGTGCTGACATAAGTATTTACACTGTTTTTGTTAGCTGCAGTCTGGTTCTCACCTTAAATTTGAAAAATATAAACGTATGCCAACTGATTAACTTCGATGATCGATTGGCTCCAATGTTCCAATCATCAATCTTAAGGTACAGTCAGTTCTATGGACTAATCGTCCTTGAACCATGGACTAATCATCAATATATTCCAGCTATCTCAAGGCAGCTGTATTTAATAGCATTTGGACCAAGCCAACCACTGAGAAACGATCCAGTCCAATATGACACACAATTTACCAGGTCACAGAGTCTGGTCACAAGGGAGTGAGTGAGTGAGTGTGTATGGTTTTACGCCGCTTTTAGCAATATTCCAGCAATATCACGGCGGGGGACACCACAAATGGGCTTCACACATTGTACCCATGTTGGGAATCGAACCCGGGTCTTCTGCGTGACGAGCGAACGCTTTAACCACTAGGCTACCCGACCGCCCCTGGTCACAAGGGATGGTGGGGACCTATTCTTATTCTGGCCCACAGCCCTACCCACCACCACTCCCTTCCCCCACCCCCACCCCCACCCCCACCCCCACCCTCCTGTTCTTCCACTGTCATAAGCAAGCCTGTCTCAGTCCCTGAACCATGTTATTGTCCCATTCGCCCAGCCCTTACTAAAATGCTATACCCCTACATGAAGTCTAGATATTCCACAAATTACCATCTCACTGGGGCTCCTTTTCAATTTAAACTTCTATCAAAATTAGATATTTTGAGAGACTAAGAATTTGTCTACTTATAGGACACTCTCCCTAACTGTAGAAAGAGGCACACTTCATGGTCATATATGCTATCTATAATGCAGACATTGTATTCTTCAAAGGCATGTTCTGTTGACTAATGCTGACAAGCTGTCACATCTCCTCAGGCCCATACACATCAACACATACATTATTCACTAAATATTTCAAGAATTTATCAACCAGGAAAAAAGCCAAGTTATCGCAATATCCAACAGGCTTCCTCTTCCAATGTTTATATGGTAAATCATTTCTATCAAAATGCCAAAATTCCCTGAGTAAGCGAAACCCTGCATATAGTTTCAATTCTCACATGCACCCACCCATTGTATATCATGGCACATCACCACTCAGATACCATGGCAATTTGGGCTCATGAAACACACATCTAGGACGACTTTTGCTGCAAAAACCAGAACTATTATCATGCACTGACGGGCGGGGTGTGGGCTGGGGCCAAGCACCATGCCAGTCCTGTCCAGACCTGACTAAACATCTCCATCTTTGTGGCTGTGAAGATAACCACGAGTATTGTGGGCTTTGGCACTGCTTCCTAAACACCTCACTATAAAGCAGATTTCTTAAATCTTGCATCAAAATCATTATACTTTATTAAAACTTAATTATCAACAACAAAATCAGAGCAGGCCTATTAGTTCCATTAACTGTATCCTTATACAGCAAATCTGAAATGATTCCCGTTCTTGTGTAATAAAGAGGGCATTCTCTCCGTTGGCTGGGTCAGCTGTGCAACAGTGAGTTGCAGTAGATGAATGGTAACTCCTGATATAAATGCATACAAAAAACTGCTCAGCCAGACCAAACTGACAGGGGAAGTGCTAAATCTAATATATTTTAATTTGCAGATTGTCAGGCAGGGCCTCCCTCCCCACACATTAGTGCCAAACTCCAACCAGTTCTCATTAATTATCTGATATAGCATTTCTCCTACATACCAGCTCTGTGTTAACACAAATATATACATGGGGAACAGTTTTTGTGTCGGACTGAAAAGTATGATTATTTTGTAAAAAAAAATTTATTTCTTTTATTTCAAAAGGTAAATGTTCAAAATAGAGAAAAATAAGTGCTGCAGTGTGATATACCACTCAACTTTTGATAATCAGAAAATGTCATTTTGTTAAAAATATACATTCGACATATGAGAAGCAGTTTTGTGTATAATGGAAAGATCAAAATATCCTTATAAAAAATTAGTAGTGTATTTCAATGTTAAACATTAATTTTCCTTCCCATCACTATCATCGGATGGTAGCACACATGGTTAAGAAAAAGACAAGGTCAAGTTCATGTTTGTTTGTTGTTTTAACGCCACACTCAGCAATATTCTAGCTATATGACGGCGGTCTGTAAATAATCAAGTCTGGGCCAGACAATCCAGTGATTGACATCTTGAGCATCAATCTACACAAATGGAATACTATGACATGCATCAAGCAAGTCAGCAAGCCTGATCCCGTTAGTTGCCTCGAACTAGCATCGTCGCCTCTTACAGCAAGCATGGGATGCTGAAGGCCTACTCTCTACCCGCATCTTCACGGGTTGTCAAGTTAACTGAAGGAATCTAGATGCAAGCCAACATAAACAGAAGACATATTAAAGTGAGTGAGTGAGTAGACCTTTAGGCCATTGTTAGCAATATTCCAGCAATATCACGGCGGGCGATACCAGAGCTTCACACATTGTACCCATGTGGGGAATCGAACCCGGGTCATGGGCGTGACAAGCAAACACTTTAACCACTAGACTATTCCCCTGCCCCCTGATATTAAAGAAACAAGTAGTTAAATGGTGAAAATCAAACTAATCAAGAAAATTTAATATTCTAATAAATGGAATAACACAAGCTGATGAATTACATAAAGGTAAATGAAAGAAATCAAACAGATAAAAACAAAAGAAACAATCTGATTAATTAAAATAAAATTGAATATATCAATAAAAGGAAGAAATATTAATTAACAGAAATCATTGTCATCACTGAAAGAAAACAATCTGATGATTGAATTAAATTAATTAGCAGAGTAAGATCAATAAAAGCAAGCAAAACTGAAAGTAAACAATTTGATGAATGACATAAATTGATTACCGGTAGATCATTGAAATAAAACAATTCAATCAATAAAAGAAACCTGTTTCACAAACTCTTTCATTCCATCACTGCTAACTTATACAACATAACAATTTTTTATTTTTTTTAAATATCCCCACAATGTAAAAAATAGACTAACATCTAGTCTCTGAAATGAACATATCGTACATAAAAAAAGTTGTTCAGTTATCTTCATAAAAATATAATAAAAAGGAGCCCAGTGACTCTCTTCATTTTCAGATACTGCAGTAATCTAGACTTGCCAAACATTATAGACATGCATGGGCTGTATTTGATATATATTTGTATCAGGGTCTGTAAGACAGACTATGTAAAAAATAGAGCTCTGATAACTGTTTTGGCAATTTAACAGGAAGATATTACTAAAAACATTCCTTTTTATTCTATTGATCATTTGAAATATAAATCACGGGGCAGATTGCATCCAATAACTTCAGATTTGCTTCAATTCACTGAGTCTTCAGCTCAATGAAACTCTGCAGTCTTATTTTCACAAACTGAAACTTGTCAAACGTCTGGATAGCTACGGTACCTTGTTCATGTATTTCTCATGAGTTTGTACAACAGGTTAGCCACCTTCACCCCTCTGCTCACAGAGCACGACAAAGGTGCTAGCTTATCTTCAAGCAGTTTAATTTTAGCCATGTCAAATTTGACCTTCAGTTCAGCTCGACTTCAACCCTGGGAGATAAGAAGTTATTAAATGTAGGTAATTACATTTATTATCTCACACCCAAAGGTGGTGTTTTATCAGATTCCCCTAGGGCTCCCTGGCTCCGTGGCTCCCGGAGGAGGGGATTACTCCAACAATAAAACAGTGGCAGTGTCTTCCTACAAACCCCTGTATGTTACTCTCTTGTCAAGAAGGGAATGAGGTCCACATGTTTGCGTTTGGGTTTCAGGAATTACAAGCGGGGCCATTACCATTGCTAATGCTAACTTCATTAGGCCAACAAAATAAATTCTGCAGTTCTGATTAAATATTCTAAACTGAGCCAGGAAGATTTTTTAATATACAAATGCCCCTAAAAATGAAGCATAATTTTGGGTCATCCTTGCCATGTAAGTACAAAGAGGTCCTTAAACTTTAAGTTTAAAGACTTAAGCAACAATACATTAATTATTAAATTTTTATTACAAAGTTTGCATTATTGTGAGGAAAGAAGCATTTTATTTTCTATTTAATGTTTGTTTATTTAGAATTGTTCAAGGCATCGGTGTACATAAAAAAATATGTGTATGCACGTGATTGCCATAGAAACACAAATGTTTGGTTGGACGATGTATGAGGTGGATTTCATCAAGCAATGGCACAAGGCAACATGTAGCTTCATTTCTTCACCTGTAGACACTTTGTGACAATAATATGAAGTGTGGCCTCAGGGATGAAAATCTAAAAATTAATTTTGGCCTTAGAGAGTAACCAGAATCATTATATATGGTTTTAGATTTGGATTACATTTTATTGGCACTCAATTCTTCCTCAAGCTAAATTTCTTTAATATCCTAGAACTAAGTGAACAAGATGTCCAGTCTACATCTAACATTATTCCTTATAAAAAGTTTAAATTGCAAAACTCTATTTTGAGCCAGTGATATCTATGGAATCCAGTAGCAACTGACAGCCTACAGCTTTATGCATTCTCAGAAGACATACGCCATGTTTATTCAAGAATCAGAAAATCTCAGACAGGAAATATAAACATGAACTTCAACACCTCACAAATAGAAAGGGCGTATTAAAAATGTTTCCTTGAAAAGGTTTATCAAGAATACTTTCACTGTTGAAGGTTTCAACGAAAAGTAGTGTATATCCTTTTATAACTTTTCAAAAGACTTACACTAAAATGTTAACCTATGTGAGTGAGTGAGTGAGTGAGTGAGTGAGTGAGTGAGTGAGTGAGTGAGTGAGTGAGTGAGTGAGTGAGTGATATCTCGCAGTCAGCGATACATTTAAGACATTTCCCGGGGGCCAGTTCACGATGGGACAAGGCATACCAGTGAGTGAGTGAGTGAGTGAGGGAGCTATTTTCCAGCAATATCATGGTTCAGACCCCAGTAATAGGCATTACACATTGTACCGATGTAGGGAATTAAACCAAGCCCTTTGGCATGACGAGCAAATGTTTGAACCACTATGCTACCCCACCACCCACTATTTAGTGTAGTGGATAAAGAACCTGCCCAGAGACCAGAAGGTTAGTGGTGTGCATCGTACCACAAGATGTTAAAAAATGGTACTTGTTGTTACCCTGTCTGGCGCACCTCATGAAGGAGATGAAACAAGGACTGGTTGGCTTGGAGTCTGACAGCATAATGTGTCAGAGTAGGGCATCAATGTTGGGTACCTCAGTGCATGCACGTCACTTTAGTAGTGAGATAAACTTGACCACATTAACCCCCATTTTACACCTCTATGTTTGTCCCCATATATATTAACACTGCACCAGACGTCACTGACCAGAAGTGTTATCTCATCTTGTGAAAGTCCTGGGTTTAAAGCCTACAGTGGTACAATGTGTGAAGCCCATTTTTGGTGTCCCCTGCCATGATATTGCTGGAATATCCTTGAAAATGACGTCAAACCATACTCACTCACTACTGACCAGAAATCTCCATTTGGGTCATGGGCAACACGGGATTAACTGACCACAATGTTACAGTTACATCACACCAAAGGCCCAGGTTCAATTCCCCACATGGGTACAATGTGTGAATGTGGCAAATAATATGAGTAATACTATGAAATAGAATATGAAAAAGGCAAATATGGCACTGAAAACATATTCTGCAGTGAATTAGTTTCCTGTGACACTAATCTAAGTAGCGGCCTACAGCATTCCAATAAGCTCTTTGATAATTTGACAAGCTGCAGATAGTTTTGACTAGGTCGAAGCTTAACATGATGTGACTATTACCTTCCGCCTTCTTCACGTTGACGGCCTTTAACCCCATGAGGTCTGGGAGCTGCTCGATGATGGTCACTCTATCATCCCCAGTGTATTTGTTAACCCTTTCAATGGAGCGGTGCTGCCAGTCAGTCCAGTAAACATAGTCATCTGGAATACAAGGGTTAACACAGATTTAAAGGTGTATTAAGATAGGTCTGGCATTCCAGAGTTATCCAAAAATACCTGGATTCAATCAGATCTGAAGTTCACAATAAACAAAACATATTAATGTGAGTATCATCTGTTACAGCAGAGATGGAGCAGTGACCGTCAATTATCAACATCCCCATCATATCAAATTACAGCTTACTGATCACAGAATCCAGACCTCATTGACATGGGTTATCCTGAGGGACCCACCATTTGATATTCATGGGGGTGAGAGTGGGGTGGGTCTTGATTTGTTGTTAAGACAGGAATTTCTATCTATGGAAGATGAAGTCGAACAATTTAATGTGTTCAGGATGCACAGAACAATTATTTTATTTAGGTGGGTGGTTAGGGGGTGGGGTTCATGCTTGGCGACAAATCATAGTTTTCTGGAATATATAATCTTTTACAAATACATTTCTACCTCAACCTCAGCACCAGCCTCCCAGAATATCAAATAGTTGTCCCCTACTGACATTTAACTCGCAACCTGGCCAAATCATCATCATCATCATCATCAATCATCATCATCATCATTATCATCATCATCATCATCACCATTATCTCTTTCAGCCAGCTCACCTAGAAGACTAAACCCAAAGATGTGAGGCAGGCTGTCTCGGACCAGCACGGTCCTGTTCTCGCCCTCAAATGTGGCCATCTCGATCATGTCTGTCTTGGCATCGCCCCAGTACATGCGGCGCGTCTGGAAGTCAAGGGCGAGACCATTGGGCCAGCCTAGTGTTGTGTTGATGAGGACCACACGATCCGTCCCGTCGAGGTTGGCCCGTTCAATCTTAGGATGCTTTCCCCAGTCCGTCCAATACATGTGCCTATAGAAAAAGTCAAAACATTAATTCCCACAAATAATGTTGCAAATCTTGATTCCACTACCACCATACCACGACGGAATGTCATGTCTGATTGGCAGGTTGGTATTCTTCAAATCAACCCCAGCTCGAGCAACATGCCGAGGTCAAACAATTCAACTCGGAAAAGTGGAGATCGAGCCTTGGTTAATAGTTAGCAGTTTTGCATCATCACAAAAAGCACATTGCCTACACGGCCACAGTATGTACTAGAGCTGGGACGGATAACTCGGGTACTCGGGTCGGGTGGGTACTGGGTAGGACCAGGGTACCCACAGGACTACCAAGACCTGTGGTGAGTCACGTGATTATCTTGTTTAATGACAAAAATTCTAACTATACCCAATCAGACATTTGGACCTATCTATTGAGACCTACAGTTGGTACCCAGGTAGGGTCGGGTAATAGGGGGTTGGGTACCTGGGTAGTATATTTGGACTCGTCCCAGCCCTAGTGGCCACATTGTGTACACATTGCTGGCATATAGCTGAAACAAGGCCGAGTGGGGCTACTAAATCTTGTACACTGCAGCCAGCAATTTTCCAACCGAATCATTGCAGATTGGTAAAAATTGAGCCTGGGACAGGCAAACCAGTCGTTGATAGCATGAGCAATCATTAACACCACAAGGGTACAGTGACACACAATCATCCCAGTCACACATCGTAATTACCCAATCCGTATTTCTCGGCTCTAGTTATTCTGATGGGGTCACAACATTGGACCCCAAGAATCAGCTTTGTATATTGTGCCCTTGTAGGTCTTTTTGAGATATTTTAACCACAGCTTCTACTGTTTACTGACCAATAAAACAAATGTCATAACACCTGTCAACAGTTTTTCAGCTAAGATAGTCTGGTTGTGTGGTTGTGTGGTATGGACTCCGAAACCTGTGTGTTTGGAGGTCGGATCTGAAGATCCGTCTGTGTAAATGTGACACCAATTTGGCCAATTTTCGTGTATGTATGCTAGTGTGGTGAAAACAGAATATGACAGAAATGTAGAAATTTATTTTTCAGAGGACAAGTGTAAACCTATTTTCCCTAGTCCTCAAGAGTTTGTACCCAGTCCTGCTTGAACAAGACAAAAATGTGGACTATGTTTAAATTCTATGTCAGTTTTGTTCAGTTCCAATTTGAAGAAAAAATTTGACATTGAGAACTTGTTCAGAATAATAGCCCTCAATTGCAACTGTTCAAATAGGACTGCCATCATTGGATTATTACTGGTCCTCAGCACAATTTAGTAGTCTCAGGCCAGCAGGCTAGCATGAACTTCAAAGGCTACATGACAGTATGTGAATCACAGCTAACATTTTGCGGAGTACTTCCAATGTGGCAACAGGAAATCCTTAAGATATCTATGTGACATGATACTGAATGTCCAAAAGTCCTTATGAAGCACTTGACAACGCTGTGAAGGGTTTCCTCGCTGATGGCACAACTTACCCGGCAACTGGATCCAGGCATATGGCCCGAGGTTCATCAAGTTTGTCGGAGATGAGCACTTTTCGATAAGTGCCGTTTAGACGAGCCACTTCAATTCTGTCCGTGCCTGTGTCTGTCCAGTACAGATTCCGCCCAATCCAATCAATAGCTATCCCGTCAGGATGGTCCACTTCTGTGTTGATCAACACTTCTTGACCTACAACAGTCAAATGTCAGGGTCACACCCCAAATTTTCCCAAGGAATTGTAAATGAACCATATCTGGAAAATGCCATCACTTTTAGCAAATAAAATAGCGGCTTATTTGAAGTTTAAGTCAAGATTACAGTGATGCAGTCATGGCCCCAAGTTTATTATAGATGACAACATGACGATATGACTTTCATTACTTAATCATCATAATTTCAACAACAAAATTAAAACTAACATGCAGATCTCATTTAACAGTTATATGATATGCAGGGTTTTACCTTGACCTACAAAACTATTAGTCCAGAGGACGCCCAATTACTAATTTCAAGGGTCCTTTGAGAAATAAGTAGGGTCCTGTAAAGTAATGAATTAGTGTAGTGTACTGTGCTGTAAGATTTAATAATTACTTCAATTACAGGACCCTTATATTTATTGTCAAAAATATTCTTGTGAGTGCCTCAGGATGCAATATATATTTTTTTCTGCGTCCATTATATACATTTGTGCATACTGAACACACATTTCTTTGTTGCATAAAACCCTGAATATGATATCTGGTGTTTCTGAATTGAACAATTTATCGGTTTCACGAACTTGTTCCATCCAACTGCGCTCTGCGTATTGACTGCACTTCGTCATCGGTCCAGTACACATATCCCTCCACTGGGTCGTAGTCGATGGCGATGGCGTGGCGGATGTTGTCGAGGGGAAGGACGACATCAGTGTAGTCAGGCGTATCCAGGGAGATTCTTCGGAGGTCCGTTCTTCGAGCTAGGAACAAATTCTTCTGGGGACCTGAAAAACATCAGAAACATGTCACAGATCAATGAAGGATTGAGTGAGTGAGTGGTTATTAACATTGTGATGTATTTCCTTTAGTTCTCATATTGAACTATCTCCGTATCTATAACACGAAAGCTGGGATACGATCATGGGTTTATTCTTTCACCATGGCGTCACTACATCGGTCTGAGCTGACGTCATCAGCTACGTCATAGTGCGAGCTAGCTGGTACTATTTGCTATAGCACTCATCACAATGATGATACACTACAAACATCAATCAGAAGTATTGTATCAAACACTCAGCAATATTCCAGCTACAAGACAGCACCCCGCAAATGATCAAATTTGGACCAGACACTCAAGTGATCGACATATTAGGAAACGAAGAATACAATTCACACATTGGGGGATCCAAACTCATGAGTTTAACCACAAGTATAGACCACCACCTGTTTGTCAAGCTGATATGGAGTCACTACGGATATCAACCAAAATGAAACTTGTGTCCCAATCTCAAAACTTCTGCATGCTGGTTGTCCAACAATCCAACATGGAGTTGTGTTCGTCTGTCCAGATGTCATTCTTACCATCAGCACACGTCTTGTTGTTTGTTAGCAGTTTGACGCCAGTCAGACAAGCACAGGCATAAAATGGCTCCTTTGGGGACATCAGGCAGAGATGAGAACATCCCCCATTGTTGTTGCCACAGGGATTCATGCCTGAAACACAACAGACATACATAGAGTAAAGGGGGACAACTCTCACAAGCTAGACTGTTCTGGAAAGCTACAGATAAACCCACACGAGACCTGTTCCATTCACAGGGACCACATGTCGGTAATACTGATGCCGAGGAAATTGCTTTTTTAAATTTAAATTTTAATTTTTTTACGGTTTTTAGCCAATGGGATCATTAAGATATCACTATTCCTAACAAGAATGTTAAGCGATGAAACAAAGATCCCTTTTTATTGATATTTTGTGAAAACATGTGCAAGGAGAAAAGGTTTCCTTGGAGGATGAAATCTCTCAAGATTTCTTCGTAATAAAATTGTAAGATATAAAGAAAAAATGTTTGTGATTTACATGAATTTTGGTTTGCATTTTATTGTTTCATAGTCACTAAGAAATGGATTAAGTTGTTAGTGTATGAATACAGGGACTGTACAACATGGTTTTGGTCACGACGAGGATGCTGACACGTGTGATGGTAAGTTCTTTATTGTTGGCACAGTATTTTAATTTTTCACATAGGTGTATGTGTTTTTGACAACACTTAACACACACATATTCAATTTTAAGTGTTTGGTTTCTGAATTAAAGAAATGAAAAATTAGACAAAATAAATTTAAAACCAAAAAGTCCCACAAGTCTCTATCTGCTAAACGTGAAATTGGATCACAAGTCGGTTTCGGAGTATGTTACACATAATAAGAGGAGCCAGATGTTGCTTTACACATAAAAAGCTTTACACAGCTATTCTGCTGGTGCTAAAGGGATGTTTATGAATACTAATATGTAATAGCAAATAATCTTTTCAATCCTATGTGAAATATTAGTATAATAACTTCATTTCCGTTAATGCTGCAATAACATTAATTTCAAGATAAATGGATCACATGTCGGGGAAGGGAAATAACTCTGCTGATTTTTTAATTTTGTGTACGTGTCTTAATGGAGGTTTTAGTTCTAAGTTTCAACCAGTTATGATTTGACATTGTTTTTAGACAGATGAATCTGTTTGATATGCCAAAAACCTATAACCAGTATGTCAAAAGTAACATGACCCAACAAGATTGTGTTTTCTTTTAAGTGCTGAAAGATTTACACAGAATGTATGCCTTAAGAAATTTTGTTTGGATGACGTCATTGTACGACACGCTTTGTTTTATTTCAAAGCTAACAAGTTCAGTTTGGATTTAACTGACAGGTTACCTAGTTTACATAATCTCATTTCAAGACATAATTCAAGACATGTTTTCATGAATAAACAAAACATCCAACTTCGTCTTTTTTACATGTCGTGCAGGAAAATGGGTTACATGTCTACAGCAAATAAACTATCTTAAATAAATGTTGCATGGAAACTAAAAAAACATGTTTTCTTCTCGATGTGGGTAAAAGCAAAAGATTAGTGACCACAATAGAATTATCTGTTGAACCACAGGCCATAACTTAAACTGAAAATTCTCAAAATAGGATTTTCCACCCATACTTACAATGAAAACATTGAAATATTGCTATAGTGAAAAATTTTAATTTTAAAGTCTTTTTTTACAATACTCTTACAGAGCTCCAGATAAGCTTTTGGTGTTGTGGGTATTTTACCCATGCATTTTAAAATCATTGGGTATCAGTAATTCTATCTGGGTATTCAAATTTCTGTTACCCACTAGTTTTACACACGTGGGTATTTAAGTTAAATATTTATAAACACTATTCATCTAGTCCCTGCAAACTGGTGTCGTGTGGGTTCGAGAGCTTTAAAGGACTCAAAAAATACCCGATACTTCCACAAGAAAGTGTGATGGCAAATGATTGCGATGTAACTGTCATCGTGGAGTGTGGCAAGGTTGACGGAATGCCCGTTTATAATTTCAAAATAAGTTGCTGATTTGCTAAACGAATACGCAGGTATACTTCACAATATTTTGATGATACGCACAAGTTTTATTTTTGTAGCTTATCTGTAATGTTCGTTGCGTATTTGATACGCATGGATTATATTTCATTGCGTATTTCTGCATTTCTAATGCGTATTTTACGCAGATACGCAGCTTATCTGGAGCTCTGCTCTTAGCTGAAAATATGCATAACTTATTTTCAATAGTGGACAACAACAAACTACAGATGATAATTCAATCCATAAGAAATTTGCAAAAACAAATGATTGTCATACTTGTTAATAACTTGCTGAAAGCAATGTTATACAATTTACAACTTACTTATTATATCTGCACTAGTAAAACCTATTTGCAAAACTATTCATTTTTACATTACCATTTTTTCCCAACTTCTAATAACAAACAATTTACAAAAAAGCAATGAAAACATCAAAATGTGTTGTTGCCTTTGATATCTATACACAAAATTATTTCTATGACAAACAGACATTTCAAAACAAACTGTAACCAAAATGTTAGACGTAAACATAATGTATATTTGATGCATGGTACATTTACATGGAACTGGTTAAAGGTTTTGTTTCATGATCGCAGACACATTAATGTCAAATCTTTTAAGTTTGGCATTACAAACAAGCCACATTGCAACACGAATCATCTCATATTTCATCCCACATTATCCCATCTAAAACCTTTCAAAGCCATGTAACAATTTCAAAGAAACATGCTAAATTATTTTCTTTCAAAAATCACATCTAAGCTTCTGAGACAACCCAACCAATGACACAATGTTCAAACTCCAAATACCCTTGTGAAGTCGGAAAAAATGCAGCCAATCAGAATGGTTCTGATATTTCAAAATACCACATAATGAAATGACCTTTCTTCAAGGCTAAAATGTTCTTCCATTTGGTTCCGATCGGAGTGCTGGGCGGGCCTCGTGATCACCCATGTGTTTTGGATTGGCACTAAACCTGCCCCTTTTACCTAGTGGAGGGAGAGATGGATCCCGGGCCCATTCACCCCCATCCTGCCGAGTCCATTCTCTGGCTCGCCTCCGTACCACTGACATATTTCAATTTTAATAAAGCTAATTTCCTCCAACACCACCACTGCGCATGATAATATTTATCTCCCTCCCTTATGGCCTGAGAATTTTGATTGCATATCGTTGCAGGTTTTATCAGTGTTTCTGATTGTGCATCAACATCATTTAATTTATTTTGGATACCATTTTCACATATAACCTTACTCATATTCCCAAAAGAAATCATAAACTTGACAAACATTTTACGTCTTATCTCAGAACACTTTAGGGTTCATAATGAAATTAATTATTGTTTGGGTTCTTGGAACACACACATATAGCCAGTTGGAGCCAAAAAATGAAGTGCACTGACGACAACGCAACATATGGAAAAGGCTACCATTATGGTATTTCCTGAATCTTTGTTTTCATAATCTACGTGTTAGCAGGGAGCTACGTCACTTATGTCCGAGTATTGCCGTAGGTTATTCAGTGCCTCTGGTAGTGCCGATCAGACAAAAACAAATAAACAAGTCACACTTCATTGTTAACATCCCATACGTCTAACCTTAAGCTTTCATAAAACTCTCCTTTATTCGGTACAGTACATTTTCAAAGATCCGGCTTCTTAACGTGGAAGGTAAATAGATTTTCAAGGGACAAACATTTCATACCATTAATGAAATTACTATGACATTAAAAAGAAAGTGAGTGAGCAATTAGGGTTTAATGCCACTTTTAACAGTATTCCAGTTATATCATGGCATGTCAGCTTAATGTGGGAGGAAAGCCTGAAGTGATGCAGGTCTCACATGTTTACCACTTCGGTGAAACCCACGAACACGGGTATGGTGTTAACAAAACTGGAAACACAATTGGGGCAAACCGGAATTCAAATCATAGGTTTCTGGCATGCCCAAGGGAAGCAACTCTGGCTGTGAAATTACAGTGTCTTTGATGACTGGGCCACCCGTGACCCCATAACATTAAAGACCCTTATTGAAACAAATATGCTTAATTAAACACACTCATCAGACAATGATCACTGATGATTAATAGTTAGCCTGAATCCTAGCTGAAAATATACATGGATCCATAGGGGAACTGACCAAGCCCCACAAGTCTAAAAGTACCACAGGCTAGATTCTTAAGTTAATATCATAGAAATATATATACACAAGGAAAATAGTTAAGTACTACCCATTTTTTATTTACATATATTCTATGCATATTTTGGAAAAATCAACGTTTGGAATTAAGTTCATTTTCAGATAAATAACATCTTTACTTGCTACAAAGGCTCTGTATGTTTCTCCAGTCATCATATACTGACCAAAAAAGGTTAGGGGTCATGGATAATTTTGGGGATACTTTTGTAGTGAAGCCTCAGCACCATTTCATAAAAGTGTTATCCCCACTGAGTACGTGTCTACCTAGCCCCCGCTGTGCCTATCTACACTGTCCTGCCCACTCAATCATCACCCCACTCACGTACACCCCCCACCCCACCCAAACAACACCCTAACCCAGCAGACTGTGTTGTGTAGACCAAGTATAACCCACACTGAGTACGTGTCTACCTAGCCCCTCGTACACCCTCCACCCCACCCAAACAACACCCTAACCCAGCAGACTGTGTTGTGTAGACCAAGTATAACCCACACTGAGTACGTGTCTACCTAGCCCCTCGTACACCCTCCACCCCACCCAAACAACACCCTAACCCAGCAGACTGTGTTGTGTAGACCAAGTATAACCCACACTGAGTACGTGTCTACCTAGCCCCTCGTACACCCTCCACCCCACCCAAACAACACCCTAACCCAGCAGACTGTGTTGTGTAGACCAAGTATAACCCACACTGAGTACGTGTCTACCTAGCCCCTCGTACACCCTCCACCCCACCCAAACAACACCCTAACCCAGCAGACTGTGTTGTGAAGACCAAGTATAACCCACACTGAGTACGTGTCTACCTAGCCCCTCGTACACCCTCCACCCCACCCAAACAACACCCTAACCCAGCAGACTGCGTTGTGAAGACCAAGTATACAGTCACTGAGTACGTGTCTACCTAGCCTTGCAGTGCCTACATACTACTACCCCACCCCACTCACATACAATCCCCCCCACCCAAACTCCAGCTTCTGTTTCGTCTACACCAAGCATAATCCCTACTAAGCATGGCCAGGCTGTATTAGCCTTGCATTAAGTCTCTACTGAATGATAAGTCCATGGATATAAAGTAATTCTGGCAATTCTGGCAAGTCTAGATAAGCAGACAGTGCAAGGACTAAAGACTCCAGTCTTTTATAGGGACAACTTGTTCTTATTATATATATAATCTATAAATTACAATTTGAACACATAATCATTTCTTCAGAGACTTGAACAAGTCTATGGCTGTACCCATGTACCCTGTCCTCCGAAGACAACAGAGTCTCCTCCCCGCTGTAGTGGAATGGCGGGGGTAAAGACAGGCTGCAGTCATGTCTTGTGAAAGTGTCACATCCCATACCATCATACATTATTCATTCAGACAACATCCCACACCAAGGGCGGATCCAGACTTTTTAAAATGGAGGTGTCCAAAATATTAAAATCCTCTCTCAGTCAATTTTCTACTGCCTACATTTGGTTTTCAAAGGGGGGAGAGGGGGGGTCCAGACCCCCTGGATCCCCACTCTGGATCCGCCTACGCAAAATTCATTACAAGAAGATATTACCTCGTTTGAAAGAAATTGCCTTTGAAAATTTGTAATTAAATCTGTGCCAATAATGATTGTTGTGCTGTAGCCTTCACTAGACTTACAATCTTTGTCTATTCTTCCTTGGGGTATATCATTTCTTGAGTTTCTATCTTGACACAATATTTACAAAACTGGAGCTAAATAGTTTTGGTACTACTTTCCATACAACATCAAACATGTTAATTCCACACATAGAAAGTTTTAATATGAGCAAAAGATAACATTCCACAATCATTTGATTTTCTGTAAGCCTAGCCTTTCAATTGCACTGACAACATACATAATGATAACAACAAGTGTGTTAAGTTCAGTGGCACATAATGGCAGCCTTTTTCATTGTCAAGGGCACTCAAGGTTAGAGTATAAGTCAATGGATGAATTTACAGTCACCATGAAACAACAGATGAAAGTGAACAGGGAGATCAAACAGATTACGAAAAAGTAAAAAAATCATCAACACCAAACAAAGTACAAGAAAAAACACCGAATGTTAAAATGTGACACAACAAAGCTGAATCAGTTTCAAGACTTCTCACAGAACAAATAAACAAATGTTTATCAAACTTAATTCCAAGCAGCAAAACAAACAAGTTGAAAATTAGTGATGATATCAACAACAATTAATTAGACTTAAGCAGCACGGTTAAAGAGAACAACAACTATATACCTCGGGTTTTTCTCAAATCTGAAAGAAGTAATTAGAAACAATCTGTATTAGTACACACCAACAGAACAGATATTTATGGCTAAGCAGATTTCAGTATGTTTTTGCTTGTTTGTTTATTGTTTGATGCCACACTCAACAATATATGAAGGCAACCTGTAAATAATCGAATCTGGACAAGTGATTGATGTTATGAGCAACAACCCATGTCGTTTGGGAACAATGACACGTAAACGATCAAGTCACTGAGCCTAATCCAAGAAGTCTCCTTTTCTGACCAGCATAGAATAGGTCTTCAGCAACCCATGCTTGCCGTAAAAGGCGACTATGCTTGTCGTAAGAGGCCTGGCTTGCTGACTTGGTTGAAGCATGTCATCATATCCCAATTACATAGACTCGTGAATATCTGGGCTATCACAGGTCTTCATAAACCCATGCTTGCCGCAAAAGGCGACTACCCTTGTCGTAAGAGGCGACTACCCTTGTCGTAAGGGGCGACTAATGGGATCAGGTGGTCTGGCTGGCTGACTTGGTTGATACATGTCATCATATCCCAATTGCATGGATCGATGCTCATGATGTCAATTTCTGGATTGTCTGGTCCAGACTTGACTATTTACAGCCTGCCGTCATATAGCTGGAATATTGTTAAGTGCGGCGTTAAACCAAAAAAACAACAACATAAACAACCAGCATAGTTTGCTGGAGACCCTCTAACCCAGAATCCCAACGGTAGATCACGGTGTGCTTCATGTATGTACAATGTAAGTGAGTAATGAGTATAGGCTTAAAACTGCTCTTTATAATATTCCAGCAACATCACTGTGGGGACGCCCATAATGGTCTTCACGCTTGCATCCATAAGTGAACCCAGTGTTCTGATGAGAAAACACTTTAACTACACAGCTCTAGGAATATTATTGTGCAACTTTAGGATTCAATAGTTTTTTCTCTGCATCCGTAACTTCACATACACACTGACAGAACATGGTATAACTTCACATCCAGCCTTTGAGAACATGGTATAACTTCACATACAGCCTATGAGAACATGGTATAACTTCACATCCAGCCTATGAGAACATGGTAGAACTTCACATACAGCCTATGAGAACATGGTATAACATGGTATAACTTCACATACAGCCTATGAGAACATGGTATAACTTCACATCCAGCCTATGAGAACATGGTATACCTTCACATACAGCCTATGAGAACATGGTATAACTTCACATACAGCCTATGAGAACATGGTATAACTTCACATACAGCCTATGAGAACATGGTATAACTTCACATCCAGCCTATGAGAACATGGTATAACTTCACATCCAGCCTATGAGAACATGGTATAACTTCACATCCAGCCTATGAGAACATAGTATAACTTCACATACAGCCTATGAGAACATGGTAGAACTTCACATACAGCCTATGAGAACATGGTATAACATGGTATAACTTCACATACAGCCTATGAGAACATGGTATAACTTCACATACAGCCTATGAGAACATGGTATAACATGGTATAACTTCACATACAGCCTATGAGAACATGGTATACCTTCACATACAGCCTATGAGAACATGGTAAAACTTCACATACAGCCTATGAGAACATGGTATAACTTCACTTACAGCTTATGAGAACATGGTATAACTTCACTTACAGCCTATGAGAACATGGTATAACTTCACATCCAGCCTATGAGAACATGGTATAACTTCACATCCAGCCTATGAGAACATGGTAGAACTTCACATACAGCCTATGAGAACATGGTAGAACTTCACATACACACTGACAGAACATGGTATAACTTCACATACAGCCTATGAGAACATGGTATAACTTCACATACAGCCTATGAGAACATGGTATAACTTCACATACAGCCTATGAGAACATGGTATAACATGGTATAACTTCACATACAGCCTATGAGAACATGGTATACCTTCACATACAGCCTATGAGAACATGGTAAAACTTCACATACAGCCTATGAGAACATGGTATAACTTCACTTACAGCTTATGAGAACATGGTATAACTTCACTTACAGCCTATGAGAACATGGTATAACTTCACATCCAGCCTATGAGAACATGGTATAACTTCACATCCAGCCTATGAGAACATGGTAAAACTTCACATCCAGCCTATGAGAACATGGTATAACTTCACATACAGCCTATGAGAACATGGTATAACTTCACATCCAGCCTATGAGAACATGGTATAACGTCACATACAGCCAATGAGAACATGGTATAACTTCACATACACACTGACAGAACATGGTATAACTTCACTTACAGCCTATGAGAACATGGTATAACTTCACATCCAGCCTATGAGAACATGGTAGAACTTCACATACAGCCTATGAGAACATGGTATAACATGGTATAACTTCACATACAGCCTATGAGAACATGGTATAACTTCACATACAGCCTATGAGTACATGGTATAACTTCACATCCAGCCTATGAGAACATGGTATACCTTCACATACAGCCTATGAGAACATGGTATAACTTCACATACAGCCTATGAGAACATGGTATAACTTCACATACAGCCTATGAGAACATGGTATAACTTCACATCCAGCCTATGAGAACATGGTATAACTTCACATCCAGCCTATGAGAACATGGTATAACTTCACATCCAGCCTATGAGAACATAGTATAACTTCACATACAGCCTATGAGAACATGGTAGAACTTCACATACAGCCTATGAGAACATGGTATAACATGGTATAACTTCACATACAGCCTATGAGAACATGGTATAACTTCACATACAGCCTATGAGAACATGGTATAACATGGTATAACTTCACATACAGCCTATGAGAACATGGTATACCTTCACATACAGCCTATGAGAACATGGTAAAACTTCACATACAGCCTATGAGAACATGGTATAACTTCACTTACAGCCTATGAGAACATGGTATAACTTCACTTACAGCCTATGAGAACATGGTATAACTTCACATCCAGCCTATGAGAACATGGTATAACTTCACATCCAGCCTATGAGAACATGGTAAAACTTCACATACAGCCTATGAGAACATGGTAGAACTTCACATACACACTGACAGAACATGGTATAACTTCACATACAGCCTATGAGAACATGGTATAACTTCACATCCAGCCTATGAGAACATGGTATAACGTCACATACAGCCAATGAGAACATGGTATAACTTCACATACACACTGACAGAACATGGTATAACTTCACTTACAGCCTATGAGAACATGGTATAACTTCACATCCAGCCTATGCAAACATAGTAGAACTTCACATACAGCCTAGGAGAACATGGTAGAACCTCACTTACAGCCTATGAGAACATGGTATAACTTCACATCCAGCCTATGAGAACATGGTAGAACTTCACATACACACTGACAGAACATGGTATAACTTCACATACAGCCTATGAGAACATGGTATAACTTCACATCCAGCCTATGAGAACATGGTATAACGTCACATACAGCCAATGAGAACATGGTATAACTTCACATACACACTGACAGAACATGGTATAACTTCACTTACAGCCTATGAGAACATGGTATAACTTCACATCCAGCCTATGCAAACATAGTAGAACTTCACATACAGCCTAGGAGAACATGGTAGAACCTCACTTACAGCCTATGAGAACATGGTATAACTTCACATCCAGCCTATGAGAACATGGTATAACTTCACATACAGCCTAGGAGAACATGGTATAACTTCACTTACAGCCTATGAGAACATGGTATAACTCTACATCCAGCCTATGAGAACATGGTATAACTTCACATACAGCCTATGAGAACATGGTATAACTTCACATACAGCCTATGAGAACATGGTATAACTTCACATACACACTGACAGAACATGGTATAACTTCACTTACAGCCTATGAGAACATGGTATAACTTCACATCCAGCCTATGCAAACATGGTAGAACTTCACATACAGCCTATGAGAACATGGTAGAACTTCACATACAGCCTATGAGAACATGGTATAACTTCACTTACAGCCTATGAGAACATGGTATAACTTCACATCCAGCCTATGCAAACATGGTAGAACTTCACATACAGCTTATGAGAACATGGTAGAACTTCACTTACAGCCTATGAGAACATGGTATAACTTCACATCCAGCCTATGCAAACATGGTGGAACTTCACATACAGCTTATGAGAACATGGTATAACTTCACTTACAGCCTATGAGAACATGGTAAAACTTCACATACAGCCTATGAGAACATGGTATAACTTCACATACAGCTTATGAGAACATGGTATAACTTCACATACAGCCTATGAGAACATGGTATAACTTCACATACAGCCTATGAGAACATGGTATAACTTCACTTACAGCCTATGAGAACATGGTACAACTTCACATACACAGTGACAGAACATTGTATAACATCATGTAATTTCCTACTGAAACTTGTCCCCGCAGTTATGAAAGCCTAGTGTCTTGAGTACATCACATCATACATTTTGTTGTTATTATTTTACATGTTACTGTGTTGGGAACTCCCATGTCAGGATTGCAAAACAACAACATCAATACAATTCCTCTCAGTGTATTGAGCAACCTCGCTTTTGTGCATCCTATGTTTCCAGGAGCAGTCTCTTCCCCGCCCACCTGAACTGTGACAGGTACAAGCGGACACCTGTATGTTTAATTACCTTGATGTATCTACCTGGACAGGTAACAGCTGTTTACCTTGTAATCACTGTCTCAGGTAGGAGAGGGAGGACACACTGCCTGGTATCTGTGACTAGTTAATGTATACCCTACATTCAAGAACAGACCCTCCTCTGTCTGTGTCATCATACTGCCCTCATCCTTCTACTGACCTAGACATTATAACAAGTGCTTAATCGTGTGAAGGATTTCTACCTGAATTTATTCAACATTGGTGAGCTTGAATGAAGCCCCAGCTAAACC